TGTGTCTCTCTGTGTCTCTCTGTGTGTCTCTCTGTGTGTCTCTCTGTGTGTCTCTCTGTGTGTCTCTCTGTGTGTCTCTCTGTGTGTCTCTCTGTGTCTCTCTGTGTGTCTCTCTGTGTGTCTCTCTGTGTCTCTCTGTGTCTCTCTGTGTCTCTCTGTGTCTCTCTGTGTCTCTCTGTGTCTCTCTGTGTCTCTCTGTGTCTCTGTGTCTGTGTCTCTCTGTGTCTCTCTGTGTCTCTCTGTGTCTCTCTGTGTCTGTGTGTCTGTGTGTTGTGTTTTTGTGTTTTTGTGTTTTTGTGTTTGTGTGTCTGTGTGTGTGTGTTGTGTGTTTGTGTGTTTGTGTGTTTGTGTGTTTGTGTTTTTGTGTTTTTGTGTTTGTGTGTTTGTGTGTTTGTGTGTTTGTGTGTTTGTGTGGTTGTGTGGTTGTGTGGTTGTGTGGTTGTGTGTTTGTGTGGTTGTGTGTTTGTGTGTTTGTGTTCTTGTGTGGTTGTGTGGTTGTGTGGTTGGGTGGTTGTGTGGTTGTGTGGTTGTGTGTTTGTGTGTTTGTGTGTTTGTGTGTGTGTGTGTGTTTGTGTCTTTGTGTGTTTGTCTGTGTGTGTTGTGGGCTCTGTGTGTTTGTTTGTGTGTTTGTGTGTTTGTGTGTTCGTGTGTTCGTGTGTTGGTGTGTTGGTGTGTTGGTGTGTCTGTGTGTGTGTGTGTGTCTCTGTGTCTCTGTGTCTCTGTGTCTCTGTGTCTCTGTGTTTGTGTGTGTGTCTCTCTCTTTGTGAGTCTCTCTCTTTGCGTGTCTCTCTGTGTTTCTCTGTTTCTCTCTGTGTGTCTCTCTGTGTGTGTCTCTGTGCGTCTCTCTGTGTCTCTCCGTGTCTCTCCGTGTCTCTGCGTGTCTCTCTGTGCTTCTCTGCGTCTCTCTGTGTGTCTCTCTGCGTCTCTCTGTGTCTCTCTGTGTCTCTCTGTGTCTCTCTGTGCCTCTCTGTGTCTCTTTGTGTCTCTCTGTGTCTCTCTCTGTCTCTCTTTATGTCTCTGTGTCTCTCTGTCGCTCTGTCTGCGTCTGTGTCTGTGATGTGTCTGTCTGTGTGGGTGGGGGGGGGGGGAGGCGTGCGTGCGTGCGTGCGTGTGGGCGTGTGCGCGGGCGGCTTTGATTTTTGTAGGGCTCTGTTTTGAGGTTTAGAAGCCAAAGCAATTCGAATTCACCTGGTCCTGTGGTTTCCTAATTTGGAGCCTATGTACCTCCCAAAACGCGCCCAATGCGTGAAAGGGCTGGCACGCCTTTTTCGCGAACTTGAAGGGGAAGCAACGTGACTCATGACACCTATCTATTTGAAGCTTCCAGCTCAATTTCCACATGCCATTCCTTGCAGTGTCCTTCAACGGGAAAATTTGCCCAGGACTCGCCCCGAACTGCCACTCACCAGCTGACCCACTCGGCCATGTCCAAAGATTTAGGGAACTTCCCTTTTGCGGTTTGCCCCATTTGATCTTTCTTTCGAATAATTTGAACGAGGCGTTCCTATTTTGAGACGATCCGTGTGAACCTTCATGCATGGAGCTGCAAGCCAAGTTGCCATGCCTGTGTGAGGTGGCTCCAGTTGAGGATCCACTCTAGAATCGACTTCCCCAGGTGTGTAACCCAATCAATGGGCATTCCTTTTTGGTAGATGGAGGTTCTGCCAAGTAATAAACTGATCGGACTTTCTCCAGTTGTCAACCATGCCATACTGCTGCCTCCTACGCATCTGAATGCTTGCTCTGAACGCTTTCAATCAGTTGTGCCAGCTGGTTAAATGGCACACGCTACTCTCAATATCATTCTTATCAGCGCCAAACACATTTTCTGACGAGAGCCCCAACCAACACCAGCATTGAAGGAGTACTCTAAACTCCGGTGGGGATCTACACGGGTGGCCCCCTCAGTGTTGGACATGCCCCCTAAATCGTTTTGAGGAGAGCCAGGTCCGATCATGGCGCCATGTGCACAGGTTCGGACTTTCTTGCAGCCTCAAAGAATCAAGAACCAACGGACAATAAAACATACGCTTTATAGCAGGGCAACATTTCAAACATGTGATCTGTCGGATGCGTCCTGAGGTGTACATACCGCTGGTGCAGGTTTGGGGTGCAAGCTGCTTGCAAGGAATGCAGTGGTTGGCCTCCACAACGAAGGCAGCCCGCTTCGGCGAGGGAGAGCTGGTACCTGATGCTCTGCCGAGTTCACGGTTTGCCCACCTTTCTGAGGGCGCCAAATAGACCATGAGTTGTAGATGTCCCAGGAAACCAAAAGGGGATGGATGGATGTTTCTTTGTTTTCCCCAGTCTCAAGCCCAACAAAAATGAGTGGTGGTTTCTTTTGGTCCGTTGGGATCCGAAAGCGTTCAGTTGAGGACATGGGCCTAGAAGACGCCCGTGTGAGTGCCCACGGTCGCAACTGAGCAGATTCCACAGATGGTGATGCAAGCGATGTACTTCCGGTTCTCGCTTGACAACCTGAGCCAGCAGGCACGGATCAAGCAGTGGGTCTCTATGAGCATGTCGGTGGCCGTGATGCTGCTAAAGCTTCAGAAGCGAGGCAGACGCTCGGCGGCAACCCTCGAGTGAGGATAAACAGCTCTCATTTCAACATGTTCAAGCCTGCTACCCTGTGCTACCCCACCAATCAGGGAATAGTTAGCTTTACCTTTTGGCAAGACCAGGATGGTGCTTTCTGATGGTGGCTGTGATGTGCTCCTTGGTGGTGGCTGCGCTGGTGTTTCCGGCGGAGGTGGAGGATTCCCACCTAAAGTGGGTCTGACCCGCCGGTTGAAAACATCCGAAAGGTACAGCCTTTTTTTGCAGCGGTCCCAGGCTAAGCCTTCAGCAGGTTCAGCCTTCACATCCCTTGTGTTTCGGGAGCATCGTTTTACAGACCTCGCCAAAAAAGAAAGCTGGCATGCCCTCCAAATGAGTAGTCCCCACCCTCGACCAATGTATCAAGTTGTAATACCTTCGGCTCAGTCGCAATTCTAATGAGGACACGAAAACCTGTATTGGCCATTCCGGTCCGAGAGACGGCCGCGTTTGGGGCGCTGCTATGCTGGCGTGCTGGCTGGAGCTTTATGGACTGAAAAGAGGTCCAACTCCTGTCACTCACATAGGCACTGCAATGTCTGAGCCACAATCAAAACAGCTTTGGGAGGTGAAGGAGAGTAGGAGGCAGTCACCCAAAATTGATGTTGCACGAAACCCTTTGATTCTGCTACTAAGGGTTTTTAGGGAACCCCCTTTCACACCATTTTGATTGTGACTCATTTGGGTGCAGGGTACTCGTGTTGTACAAAGTCCCATGACTCAGGACATGATGGTTCAGGATAATTTTATGAACAGGCTCTTTGTGTTCGTTTGAGGATTGTGCGCAGATGAAAGCATGTTGTTGGAATTCAACCACAAAAGCTTCGGAAAGACCTGGGGAAGTTTTACATTCAGTGGTGTGGTGTCGCCGAGTGGTTGATCCCAAAGTGGAGGCGTAGCCACGTCGCTCATCGGAAGAAAAGAGATGTTTCTGCCTCGTTTTGGAGGTTCCGTATTCTGAAAACCCTGATGTCCGATTTATGGCTTGTTGTAAGTTATGCACATGCTTGAATTGTCCACGTCATGTCAACGCGAACTTGCCAAGAGTCGGGCCTGTCCGTTGTCCTGGTCGCTGTGTCGGGAATGGATGGTCTTGGATGGTCCCTTGAGAGCGAAAAGACGAAGTGTTTTGCTTGCACTGGAATCACAGGTGAATGGTTGGAGTCAACCAAATGACGGCACCGTCATCGTGAGTTCAATGAAAATAGGCCCATCCCGCTACCCTCCCTGGTAGCGTACCTGACATAGAACTCGGCCCCTTCAAGAGTTTGATCTTCCAGGTAGCCTCCTGCCGTGTTCATGGGCTGGAAAGGGTGGATGTTCGACCTTGGGAGGGCAGTCTGCAAGAACTCTTCTGTAACGCTGGTCAACGCATCGAGAAGGGACTGCCGTGTTGCTATGATGTTCATGGGGCATACCCACAATACATGCACGTGTAAATGTGTGCACCGAAGGGTGCCGAGCAGAATTTCATATCCATGTGGGGATGTGCCAAAACAAAAGCACCATCAGGGCGTTTTCACAGTTGCCACTCGGAAGACATGAGTGCACTGTTTTCTCACAGCTCCCTTGATACACCCTGAGTACCCTGAAGACACACAACCACACTTGCACAAGTACACACAAGTACACACAAGTACACACAAGTACACACAAGTACACACAAGTACACACAAGTACACACAAGTACACACACAAACACAGGCGGTGTTTGGACATGTGTGGTTGTTGACGCCACAAGGCGATGAGCACATCCAGAAGGTGCTTCAAGCCTCTGGACGACAAGGAGCTGAACAACAGATGCGCCTTACCTGTCTCACGGGAGTCAGACGGCTCAGGTGTGCTGTGCCATCCACGTGAGCATTGGCTCATTCAGGGCCTTCAAGTACGCAAACTGAGAGGTGCTACAAAGACCTGGGTGCCGTTTGGTGGTTGACCCAAAGAAGACTAAAACCCAGTGGTGTCCGTTTAAAGAAATCAACCGCCCCCTAAACCTAAGTCTCCACCGTGAGGCAATCGACAAATGGAACCCTGGTGAATACTTCCTCCCACTCGGACCGGTTTTTGACTGTGCTGCTTTGTTTGGACCAGGCCGAAGAACTGCGAATTGTCACCAGTTGCAGCTTCCGCTTTGGCGAGTGCCAGCTTCCGCTGACAGTACCGACAATGCTATCTAGCAATTTGCACGTGCGTTTGACTCGGCTGAAGTTCGAGGTCATCAGCAAACATAGGCACTGACTTGTGTGGGTGGATTCACAGTGACGCAAGGCTCGGGTCGCAGCTCTTTCCCACGGACTGCGAAACACTTCATCTCGCGTGCCGCTTGAGGCTTTACGACGTGAACTGGCACAAGGTGGAGCATGAGGCTGGCCCATGAGCTTCACAGACAAATCGGCCTTGAGATGGCAGGCTGCGTCTTCATTGCTGGGTAACGGATCTTCAGACTTCAACTTGTTGGTTGAAATGTTTTGGGTTTCCATCCAACCCACAAAATGCTGAACTTGTTGCAGCCAAGGCTAGCCGAGTTTGGGGACCATGCGGCCCGAGGGACCCAGCCTGTTCGCCAGGCTGGGGACTCTGGGCGTCGCCTGGTGCTGGGCAGCGCCGGAGGCCTGGAGCTGCTGAAATCCGCGGACGCGCGCAAGGAGGAGATGCCCATGGAGGAGGAGGCGGCCTCATCTATGGGGCGCTGGGAACGGGGGAGTAAAGCTGGGAGTGGACATGTTGCTAAGCCTTGGTTGTTTTTGAAAATCCGGTCAGATCATTTTACGAGCTGCATTCATGTGGACACGTATTGCTTTAAGCCTCAATCATGAGAGCGCGACTTCTATACGGGAATGCTCGGTCAAAGCGCTTGTTCGTCATCCCTGGCCTGCGCACATCCAAGGGTCTGTCCTGGAAGTGAGGAGGATGGCTTGCTGCAAGACTGTCTAAGACCCAGAATGGGGGAAGTTACGTCCTCATACGTTTGAAAGTGTCCAATTCAACTTCATATCCAACGGGTATGTGTCAGAATAGCTTTGGGTGGCTTTTCTGTTGGCTGTCCTTGGGTGTTGAATGGGGAAACATAGGGAGTTGTTTAGGGTCCCCCGTCCTTTAGGGTTTTGCACGGTTTCAAATGGGAAGCTTGCCGGGGGATGTACATATGTACACATAGTGTGGGGATTGTCAAGGTCAGAAGCTGGGGGTTGCTTCCTGTGACTACTTGGGTTGACTTTGATACTGGTAAAAATAATGGAGCAGGACCCCCCGCCCCTCCCTGGAGGGTTCAATTTGATGCTTCTGGGTGTTTCTCACCATGATCAATCCTCTCGTCAATCTGTGCCTGTGTGTCCAAACTAGAGACCTCTTGAAAAACGTCGGGGTCTTGTAACTGGTGCAACAGCCAACATGGGGCGACTTCCACATGTGTGCCTCCGATGTGTCCTTCTGCACCCCGTCAACTTGCTATGTGACCCTTGTAGCCAGTGGTTTTCCTTTTGGGTTCCCTTTAAAGCCACAAAAAATACAGATAAAAGCAAAAAGGGGTACTGTAACCTCAGGGTAACCCTAATATGATTTCTTTACCCATAGGTGTCTGTTTCGGTCAGTTTAACTGAAAGGAATTTGCAGGCAGTGAGAGGAGGCAATGAGCACGTCCACCGCACAGGCAGTGAGCGCGCTTCTGCAGGCGGAGCCCTGGTCAGCTGTGCCTTGGAAAGCTGAATGTTCACGGTTCTACTTGGGCGAGCTCTCCGATTCGGGTGTAAAACGAGCTATGATATAGGTCCTTTACTTGGGGCCCCTTGCTTCTGGTTGGAACTTGCTGGACGCTTTTCAGACAAGCTCCTTACGCAAGTCTCCAGATTGGGTGTGTCCTAGGCTTTTGCCTTTCTTTTTTTTCCTGCGCAGCCCCCAGTGGAGCCTTCCTCTGAAGCCAAGCCGAGCGTCCCAGGTGATCTTCGCGGATGGCCTCTTGAGAGACAGCGCTTGGGCGCTGAAGGCCTCGCAGGATGCCTTGCCAGGCGCGGAATGATCCGCTTCGTTTCGACGACTCGAGCGCCCGAGGGCGCACCCGGTGGATGTTTTTGGTACCCTTGTGCCAACACAAACACCGGAAGGCTTGGGTGGAGCTCGGAGTTGGCCGAACGGACAACCACATTTTGGAAGATCCCTATTTCAGAAACACCTAAATGAAAGTGACCGAGAGCTTGCCTTCGAATGCAGTTGGAAAGACAAGATGGGGGGTCTGCAGGTGAAGCTTGCGCTTGCAGTCCATTGACTCGGCGTATATATAACTGGCGACGCCATTGAGCTCAGGGAAGTGTTCCCGTTGGTTCCAGAACAGGGACACCTGAGGAATTGCAGAATGGTGTTCCTCAGAATTCAAAAAAGGAAAGGTGACCCGCAAAACAAAACGAACAGGAAGGCGAGCGAACAACAGCGACAAGGGTGCCTGCTGGCTTTGCCACACGCCCACAAGCTGAGGAGGCGGCAAGAGCGACGTGGCCGTGCTGGAGCGAGCGATGGTGCTGGCCAAGGCTTCGGTCAGAATCGCTATAGTCCAGTTGGGAGGCACATACAGGGACGACCAAATGTCCCACACGATCCACGGGGACAGCCCAAGCTTGCCATGTCCTTTTGGAGAAACGAGCAGTTTTTTTGGGCTCATGTGGGAATGACTTGCGATTGAGTGGAGCCTTGGACGTCATAGAAACGGAGTTATGTCCAGCAACCATGTTAGGGGGGTCCCCTTCAAGTTCGTATTCTTCTCATTCTGTTCATGATACATTTGGCGCCCTATTGCAAGTAAGCAACGAAGCAACCAAGCTTCCTTTGAGTTTCATCATATGTCCAAGAAAGTTAGCTTACAATAGGTTGGAAGCCTCCGTACCCCACACAAACACCGTGCATGGCGACATCCCCTCACTTTGAATTGTGATTCCTTTCCGTCAGGGAAGCATGCACGTCCTCATCTTGCTTTGTTGAGGCAGAACGCCTCCTCCGCTCCCTCCTTATAGTGTGTACTTGCTGATTGTTCATGTCGCCCTTGTTGAGTGGAAAGAAGTTATTTGCCTTTTGCGCCTTGTTCTTTCCTATTCCACTGGGTCCGGCATGATGTGCAAACCGCTGTTGTTTAAACATTGTCGTTTTGGTTCAACCAAGAGCACATAGTTAGCCTTACTTGTTTCAAAATGTGTAAACCTCCATTCTTTCAACAGCCCCTTTGCTCATTCCCTTCAACAGTGACCCGGGGCGTTTTGTTGGAGCGAATTTCGCCCCACCGGGTCCGAAGCGCGCCAGGCCGCGGCGAAGCTGGGGACCAAGGCGCCGCTGGTGGTGTTCGCTACCTGGGGCTCCCAGCCCGAGACGAAAGGCCAAGGCGCGTAGTTCGGTCTGCGGATCCCGATGTTCACCATGAGGGTTGCGGTTCTTTCTGAGGTGCCAAATTGCTAATCCCTCTGTTTGGTGTCCGATTTGAACGTAACATCTTCCCTTGTGCTTCGGTGTGTAAATGTTCTCTCACGAACAATATTTGCTCTGAGGTGGACGGTTGTCCCCCAGCTTTTGACAAGCTTGCCCATCCTGGCCCCAGGCCAATCAAGCCCTCCGATTTGTCCACTTTTCGAAAGGGAACCCATGGCCTTGTGCTGCTCACTTGCTCGCCCCTGAACCTTGGCCAGGTTTGGTTTGGTGCTTTCGGCCCATGTGACGCTTTCTCAGGACAAGCTCCAAAGTTCAGACCCCAATGGGTCAAGGCTGAGTACATCAAACTTGAATCAGCCGAACTTCAGGTTTAGCTTGCAGAGGCTTGGTACATGCGGAAGGCGCTGGGTTCAATCCCCAGTGTGCTTCCTTGACTTGAGTTGGAAGAACCGGTCGAACGGCTTCTCCAGGTCAGTTGACCAACCAGCACCAAAGAGGTATCCACAATCTTCCAACATCTTGGCTTTCAGAGACGTCCAGGGCTAGCAGGCTCACTTCATGCCCACGGTGTCCTTTGGCTTTCGGCCAGGCGTTCCGGACCACAGCGGGCTCTGGGGCTTTGCGCGCGCCCTGCGCATGGAGTATCCAGGCGTGGTGTACCCCAAACTATGGTGAGGAGTGGGGCGTGGAGGTGAGGATTTGGTTGCGGTAGTTGCGTTGTAGGTTACAGACTTTTCTGAGAAGGGAGCCGCTTAGTGATGAAGTAGTCCATAGGGATGGGGAACGCCACTTCGGTTTGGCAGAACGGGGAATTGTCGACAACCATGCCAAAATCAAGCCATGGCAAGGTGTTGCATAAACATAGGAACGGTTTGCTGGTTGGCTTTTAAGGAGTGCCAAACGGGCAAATGAGGGCGCCGTTGTCAAAAACCCCGGTTGCTTGTCGTTTTGAAGTTCGTAGGGATGTTGATCCCTTCATGGGGAATTCAGGACAGCCATGATAGGGATTCCTAGAAAGTAAGCCACGATGACCCACATAGGATTCAGATGTTTGTTTTCCATAGGATTCAATTGGGGGATGGTAGCCAAGCCTTCAAGGGCGGCCTTTGCCATCCCTTGGTACTCTGTGGGGTTCTAATTGTAAGGGACGTCAACACGGCACCATCATTGGGGCGGTTCCTCGCGTTGGGAAGCCCTCCGACGTTGTGTTTCAAGGGATATATCCGTGCCCGTCAGGTGTCTAGCTGCAAAGTAATTGATTCCCTCTACCTTCATCAAAAGTTCGCCCCAAAAGCAGATACACCGCGGGAAATGGACACCCGGGTGCCAAAATGGCCATGTTACGTCATGTTCGCGTTTATTCAAGGAATAGGCCCACAAGGGGGGATTTCTCGGAAGACGACGGTGTCATGAAGACTTGCCCCGCCAATGGCAACCATTTGTCGCCGAATATCTGGAATCCGGGGGCATGGCTCAATCATCGAATAGAGGGTTTTGATGGTCTTTTTAGAAAGTTAAGCGACATTTGACCGCCCACCCAAGGAAGTTCGACAACATCGCCTTCGATCAAGACTGGCCATGATGCATCGATGGTAGTGGGTTGATGTCATTTCGGTTCAGTGCTGCCAGTCAAGGGAAGCCATGTGGGTTTGACTCCAAATGGGAGAATTTCCCAAAAATTGGTACCCTCCCAATTAATATGGAACCTGCCAGAAGGGTCCTGGTTTGGACAATTCTCCTTTTAAAGGGACCTCGTGTCAGGTTCCATGCGAATTGATTTCTGATTGCGACAGCCCCGAAAACGGCACACAGTCAACAAGAGGAACCATGCCCACGTGCGGTAAGAGACCAGACGTGACCACGCGCAAGCTGCGCAGCCTTGAAATTGCAAGGTATTCTCCGAAATTTCACTGCTGGGGCTATTGCATGTGTTGTCTTCTTTGAGGAGCGGGTTGCAAGATCGTTGTTGCGGAAAATGCTGGAGATTCTAGGACCACTTTCTGTGATACCATATGAGTTAATGCCCTTTGAATCAACCCCCAAAAGTATTTTTACACATGTATCATGTGGTATGTGTCAAAATGGTGGGCGTGGGGTGTAGATGAATACTAGATTGGTACAGTAAACAGAAAGGGACAGAAGGAAGAGATGCCATTATGTTTTCTCATTAATCACTAAGCCAATACTCTTCCAAATCCAGAGCATAGAAATTATACGGAAATCTGGTTAGGATTTGCTCTGTTTTCTCTAAGGTGTCCACTCCTCACCTTTGCCTCCAGGTTCTCTGAAGCTCAACTGCGTGGACCTAGACCCCTCCAAGGAGCGGGCGCGGGATATTTTATTCGCAAATGAGCTGAGAGTGGACACGATACCCACGAAGCAAGCAACTGAGCAAAGTTGGGAGGTGTTCAAGCACCAGCCAGGTGTATTTCCTTATAAGGTGAGTGCAGGGGACATTCCCAACCAGAAGTAGTGGCTCTAGGACCCTGATGTATAGTTGTGTACATGTGGCTTCCCCTTCCGGTTGTTGGTTGATCCTTTGGTGGAGCTGTTCGTTCTTTGACCTCTTTGGATTTGATTCCCATTGAATCTCTTGAAAAAGCTTGGAAGGGTTCACTTTCTGAGTCAAACGGCCATTGCCGGTGGAGTTGGCTAGTGGCAGGGAATCAGCTGGAGCGAGAGCCACGGCTGCCCCAATGTGACATCCTCAATATTTGACCCTTTGAATGGTGGCAGAAAAGGACACTGCCAAAAGTGGAGTTGAGAACCCCAGAAATGCTTGACATCTTTCGCTTCAAGGAACCCAGTCGGATGCAGGACTCAGGCACCTGAGCTCGACATGTTGTCAGAGTCAGCTGTTCTTACGTGGAGTTCCCGCAATAAGTCAACGGTGGAACCGCTTGAGGTGTACGTCACAAGTTGTGTGTATAGCCCCTGAGGTTCGCACCTCTGTGCGCATGGCACTAGCTGCAAGGGGAGAGGGGACCAAGCTGTGCCTTCGAACACAGAAACGTTCTGAGGGGCCGCTCACATGTCGAATCCAGGGGGATGGATGTCTTGCTCGCCAGAGACCAGCTTTGTTGGAACAAGTCTGCCTCAATCACCCGGGCGAGTCCATCAAATCTGGCACCGCTCCAATTCCACAGCTTTGCCAGTGGGACCTGAGAGGTCTCTGTGGAATCAGGATTGGGTAAAAACATATATATTATACAAAAAAAAGGCCGAGGGTGTCCTTTGCCTCCTATAAACAATGAATTGCATATGGTTTCCTTTAAGGGAATCCCCCAAACCGGTTCATTCCCAACAGTTCCCTTCGGGCTTGGCAGAGAGACGTTTTGAGGACACGCTCAACATGAGTTTCGTTTCGTGCAGGAGGATCTTTGGGCGCAGCTGCGGGACCTACCGGAGGAGGAGGAGGTGGCACTCCGGGAATCCGAACAGCGGGCGGCCAGGCGCCGTGCGAATTGGCTTCGGGTTGTTCCACGAGTTGCCGGGTTTTGTTCAATGCTGGCAAGGTCCAAAGAGGCCAAGTTCAGTGGCCAAAAGGGACATGGCACGCGATTTGTTTGGTGGCTTCCCGCAAATGGAAGATGGCAGTTCTAGCACCAAATTGTCTTGAAACTAAAATTCGTTCTCTTCGGGCGATTCTCCAATCTAAAGCAAACACACTCCACTCAATTCTCATGAGGACTCAAAGATGAGCATGTTTGAGCGCTGAACCCTGAGTATGAAACTCATTAACAAAAGTTTTCGCAACTCGATTGAAGGACTAAGGGCTTCAGTTCGTTGTCCACCAGGATCACAGGCCAACTGAGGATTTGCAATTGCTCCCTTCCAAGAGGAAAGCCTTACACAGAAGTTGTGAATCTTGGTATCCTGGGCTAGATGGCTCTGGGCAAACCCGAATGGGGGTTGATCAACATTCCGCTCGGCCCCAAATGACCATGGGGCCATGGGTAACTTCCCCCATGCGGTGAGTTAGTCATTTGTTGTTGTGGTTTCTTTGATTGTCATCCCATGTACCGTGGGCCTTTTGATCAATTTCCAACAACATGTGCAACCCACCATTTGGTTGGTTTTGTGGGGTGGAGAGATGGAAACCCCACGTGTCGCGGACCCTCTGGATCAACCCCCAAATGGAAAGGACGCGACGACGCGGGTGGCATTTTGTCGTTTGGTCGGTCGCAGGCTGGCACGCTCCGCGGTGAAGTTCTCTGGGGCGGTGCGCCTGAACATGCCGGCGAGGGGCTCCTTGACGGGGCTGCGCTGTGTGCCCCAGGCGATCGGACGATCGTTTTCTTCGGGGCGACGGCAGGAGCGGCGGTGTCACATAGGGCGTGTCTGAAAACGGTGGATGTCTAAGCTCTGTTTTGATGAGGCAACGAATGTTACCGAGGTAACTCAGAGGTAACTCAGAGGTAACTCAGAGGTAACTCAGAGGTAACTCAGAGGTAACTCAGAGGTAACTCACCATCCAGTAGATTTCATCGACTGGATGGATTGTTTGTTTTGTTACATCTGAATTCCCTCTAAAGCAGCCCTCGAACAAGAGGAAGCCTCAACAAGACGCCTTTTGGGAATGAATTCCTTTGGGGCAGCTGAGGGGCGGCGAAATGGTCTTAGGGTGCTGTTCCATGGTTGTGTTCCCGTGTGTCAGGCAGGAGACCTTGACTCGGTTCTGAAAGGCAACCGCAAGGACCCCATCAGCTGTACAGGGTTGCAAAAGGGTTCGTCATCGGGAGGCTGCGGGGGATGAACAAAGCCCCAAAACCGACAGAACAGCCAGTTGCCATCAACCATCCATCAGCAGCAACCTTACTCGGGCCAATACATTCCCACCAGGAAGTCTGGGGAGGGTCGCATGATAGGCTTAATCCCAGAAGGGGCACCTGGGGCCGGAAAGTTTGATTGGGGCAGAAGCAAGTTGAACAATTCTGTGCCCCATGTCAGTTTGAGGCTCATAATGATCGCAGATCTTTTTGAAAAAGCGGACGCCTGTGCAAGACAATGGTCCAACTACCACTGGGTACATGTTTAAGTGGGAACCGACCCAAAGGTCAAATTGTTTGCTGAGCTGCAAGCAGTGGAACAGAAGCAGGCAAGGACAGGTCAATATCAAAAACCAGCAGCCCGGCACCGTGCAATTCCAAAAGAAAGACAACATGGCAAAAGCCGGCAAGAGATTCAGGAATCTCGCCAGATCTATCAAAAACCGCAACTCGGGCAAAAGCGACCAACAAAGTCCGCCGAAGCAAGAAAACTGGGGAAAACATGGAGAAGGCCAGAAAAAGAACAGCCAACAGCACCCAAGAAAGGAAAAGAGACTGATGTTTTTCCGGCTTGAGCACCCGGAGAATGGTTCCCCAAGGCAAGGAACCGCTTCAGGCAGACAGCGCGGTGCGCAGCGCTCCGGCACCGGGAATGGCTCAGCTGCGGATCCGCGCGGTGGGCCTGAACTTCCGGGACGTGCTTAACGTGGCTCGGAACGTTTGGATTTGTCGTTTGGAGATTAAGGGTGTTTTTCTATTTACCCTCTACAGGAAACAGCAGTTCAGACCCCCCAAGCCACCAATTCAGAGTTTCCTGAATACTGATGATTGGCGAAGGATGTCATACGGGTATGGGTCAAAATTCAGCCACCTGGAATTGGACCACAGGTTTGAGTTTGTACTTCTTTCCATTTACCAGGGCCCTAGTTTCAGAAAGCAGCGTCCCCACGAGTTTTTGCGCATTCCTGTCTATCTCATTGTTTCACGGTTATTATGAATTGAGAAGCAATGGTGTTATATCAAAATACATTGCCGGGGACATTGCCCTCTCTTTTATATGTGCCATGGTCAAAAGACCCATTGACCGGGATGGTCCACCTGAGGCTTTCGACCATGGCGCATAAGGCTCATAGAAAACCCTTTGGACATCATTTAGGGGATTTATGTTTGGGGCCATCTCAGTTTGGGCTGGGGCCAAATTTCATCTTGGCTTGGCATGGGCAGAATCAAAAAACTAGATGCATGGGACTGTGGAGTTGGACCAAGCATTGGTCTGGATTTGGAACATGTGCGTGTTCCCCACTTGGCAGAACTTATTGCATGAAGGAATGGCCACCAAAAAATAGTAGCTACTTCCAACACTGCTGGAAGTGAGCAAAGGGCCTTGACAGGACAGACTTCCCAAGGCCAGTCAGCTGTTGGAAAGAGGGTACCTTTTGGCTTCCCCAGAATTAGTTCCCCTTTCCATTTTTTTGCTTGTTTGAGGGGACCTTTGTTTTCTTCTAACCAGGCTGGGGTCCTAATTCCAGCCCAGTTGGTGGATATCATGTCCTCCCATTGAATGGTTTCCATTTTGGCCGCCGACCGCCGAAGGCGCACCAAAACCGCCGCTGGGCGCTCGTCGCTGAGGTCATGGGGCTCTACCCCGGTGACCCGGGACCCCCGGGCGCAGACTGCGGCGCCACCGTCATCGGATTGGGGGACAACGTGGCGCACCTCCAACTGGCAGAGGACGTTTTCGGGGAGTCCCCGGGATGCGGCTCGAAATGAAAAAATCGCAACCCAAGGTCGGCTAGCCAAGGCAGTAGGCTTCAGTCAACCTTGGGGTAGGCAAGAAATGGCGAGTTTTGTGGGGGTGGGTACCGCCAGTTCTATGATCTTGTGTCTTTGATGCGTAAAGTGAGATCGCTTACTTTGCTACTTTGGTATCACAGAAGTAGTTGACAACTGTAGATAGGTATAGGAAATCGCGCCGCAGTGCCCCACAGGCCTGATCCACCATGGGCTCAGTAACTTCTGCTCGTGAGGTCAACGAGCTATTAACCCGACACCGGGGATGCTGGGCTTGGAAGGGGCAACCGGAGGGGGGCACTTGGCAGTTTCACTTCAATCTCTGGCGACTGCACCCATGGGAAGTATAGGGTTGGTTGCATTTCTGCGGTCATGTAGTCCTTGGACAATGAGTCCACAGCGGTCCGCCACACCAAGTTAGTGATCTGGCGATTTTGGAGGGCAAGTTGCCATTTTGCAGACTGGGCAAGTCAGCAGGCGACGTTCTGCTTTTCTGTAAAATTGACAGGAAGAAGGAACTGGCACTTTTCGAGTGAACAGTGTTGGCAGAATGCCATTTGGGATGCTTCCTGGAAGCACAGGTGGTCAAGCACGCATGCTGCAATCTCGTGGAAGCCTCTTGTTTGGCCCAGGCAAGTCAAGGTGAAGCTGTCCACAAGGAAGTAGTGTCCATTTATGTTTGGTCTCACTGAGAACGCCGAAGCTGGCTTGCGCCCCAGGCTTGAGCACCTACAACACCAGCTCAGCAGCCCTGCTGTCGCAGAAGCCCAGCTCTTGGACTCATGAAGAGGCGGCTTTTGTGTTTTGTCGCTAGCCGCATCCCCGGAGATTTGCCAGGAACCCCCAGAGAAAGGTTCCCAATATCAAACGGCGGTTTCTTGGTAGGCGTCGAAAGCATATGCAGGGAAATATCGCGTTCTGTTCACCCACGGCTTGGTCAACACATCCAGTCTGTAATCGCTTAGGACGGACGTTGGCGGACTCATAAGCTTCCCCACAGAATGCCGGGGCTCAAGGAGCATATGAGAGCTTGGTTGTACATTGCGTACAAGGACCATCAGTCTTCATGGCTTTTTATGATGGAGCCGTGCTTAGGTGTCCCAAGCCAATGTGGTGGCTTTGTTGGTTGCTCTTTGGATTCATCAGCAGCCATTCGTGGTTGTTTTTTCCTGTGAATGGTCCGAAACATCTGGCTTCCTGTGGTTGCTCAGAGTGATTTCCCTGGTTAGATGTACGTGGCAGGCGCGTTCTTCAGTGGAAAAAGATGCATTGCATTTCGGGTTGCCACGTTCTGTGGCCGAGAAAATTCCCTTTTCAAGGTAGTCGTTCTGGGAATCCCCTTTGCTAGCACAGAAGTTGTTTCAAGCGCCCAAAGCCGGTTCCAATACGGTCCAGTAGGTTCCCATGTCCTTTTGGTGGAACATCGATGCAGTCCCCTGGCAATGAAGAGGAGCATGTCTGATTGAAGACGATGTGTGCAGGCCTGCTGCATGCCCGTGATCTTCGTCACCGTGGAGGAGGCGTGAGAGATTGCCGATTGGGCTTTGACAAACTGCGGATGGAAATCCACGCCAGGTAGGTAGTTCATCGCAGTATTTGCAGGATTTTGTCCACAGCGTGGGCAAGAAGGTCCACCCCACCAACATGGTGTGGTGCACCTTCAGCCCCTTGAAGACTTAAGCTTTTGGAAGAGTGTTCTGTGCATCAAACCATGGGATGGTCATGGACGCTGAACATGTACAACCATGACTCTTCTTCAACAGTTCTTCCCATGAACCATATAGTCACCTCACTCATGAATGGGTCCTTGTGCATCTGGGGTATTGCACCTTTCACCTAGATTCACTCGGAACCACCTGTTTCTATAGCTAGCTCGGGTCATTCCCATGTCCCAATCCACCAGGCAATCCGCCTCGGATTTGTTTTTGGTGAGAAAATCCGGCCAGATCCAAGCCCCAAAGCAACCAAATCACCCAACTCTGCCCGCCGGATGGTCCCAAAGCCACAGGGGTCCTTTTTGGTTGTTTTGCTAGAAAAATAGATGGCCCTGGTATAATAGTTTAATCATCTACCAGGGCCGTCTATTTCCCCTAAAAGGACATCTATGCTCAAAGCCGCCCGCTGCGGCGAGGCCCTGGGAGACTTGGCGCAGCTGAAGAAGGGCGAGCGCGTGCTGATCCACGCGGCCGCCGGAGGTGTTGGCCTCGTGGCCATCCAGCACCTCGCTGGCGTGGCTGTGGTTGTCAAAACTCATGGGATCCCATTTTGGGGTAGGTGCACCACCATTTTTAGAACCTATCTTAGTGGGGGTTAGGATGTTCACTGGGGGTACCTTTTGACCCATGGCCACATGGATGTGGGTTTAAAATAGGTACCCAAAACATAGAACTCTGGTAAATGGAGGCAAGGACCCAAACCTGCGGTCCGATTCCTGGTGGTTTCATTTGGACCCATGCCGAAATGGGGCTTCCCCAAAAGAAAGAAGGAAACTGAAGGCACTTGTGGACATGGGAGTTGTTTTGGAAAGCATTTGGAGACAATGGCCTTTGGGTAGGGGGGTGCAAAAGAAATGCCCCTAAATCGGCCCTTGGATCTCAAATCACCGTGAAGCTGGACATGTTTGGCATCAAGAAGAAGGTGTTGTGTGCAGTGCGAAGTTCCAAAAAGCTTCCCTTTCAAGGCTTCCAGTGCCGACCCGTTTTTCCCTGGGGAGGGTTCATGAACTTCTTGATCAATGTTTGTGGAAATGGCACCATGACCATGGCTACTGCTCTCCCTCCCATCTCTCCTCCTGTCCTTCCCCATGGGATAAATCGTGGCTCGATTCAATTGACGACTCGCCTCCGTGCACGTCGCACTTGTTCTGGGCTTAGAGCCTGCGCGCAGTCTTTTCCTTGGCCTTCCCAAGCGCTGGCCGGCGCTGGCCGCGCTGGCCGGCGGTTGCTGGATGATCCGCACGCAAAAAAAGGTTCGACTTTTCGCAGGGGGTCGATGTCTGGGGGAAGGAGATGGCTCTGCATGGCGGCAACTTCAGCGGCCAATTTTTTTTCTCCGTCTCCGAAACCCCTGGCCCGGAACCCCGAAGGGAACCACAGCCCAAAGCCCAAAAGCGGCTCCATGGCGGTCGCTTCTGGGCATTTGTCACGGGTCAGATGGGATTTATGCATGCAATGATGGAGTTCCATGCCAGGTTGTGACCTGTGTCGTTGAGGGGAATCCTTGGAGGTGATTTGGTGAGCATTCCCAGGCGTTTGCTGACATGCAGTCGCTTGGCCGAGGTATGCCCAGTTTGTGGGCGCAGAGGTCTATGCAACAGCTGGGGCTGAGGAGAAACACGAATTCCTCAGGGGCTTGGGTGTGACTTGGCCAGGTTTGCTGCGGTCAAGCAGTGCCAAACCAGCAGCATGGCTGTGCAAAGTCGGGTTTCAGGGACACTTTCAGTGTTTTTGGAATCCTCTTGAAAGTGATGGAGTCAAGTGCATGGCTCACTTTGGTAGCACATGCTTGGCGCCACAGAGCTGTCTGGTCATATGGCCACAATCCCAAGCTGCTTCGGAGGATCTCCCTAGCTGACTTCAGCAAGGCTTGGCGCCCGTTTCGTGTTGGGATTCAGATGTGCATTTCCAAGGTAGCTGCCTTGCAAGCTGTGTGTGTGTGTGCTGCAATCATGTCATGTGCACTACTTGAGGCCAACCAGGGTAGGGTAAGTTTGGTTCCAGGCCAGAATAAATCCAGTGATTCGCTTGAGCAGATGTATTTTCCTGCTAATTTTCGCCATGGTGGGTTCCAGTGCTTCTCCACCTGTTGCAGTTTTTCCAGAAGCGTGAGTAGGCGTTGTTGTTGGCCAAGGTGAAGTACATCACCAGCAGCCGAAACGGAAGCAAGTTCGAAGAAGACATGAAGCGCTTCATGCAGGACCGGGATCTCTCTCGTTTCTGACCGAGCTGCAAAGGTCTCGATGGATGTTCTGCAACCACTTAGTAGGTTGCTACCATGGTTGTAAGGGAACAAACCTATCAAACCTCAGGTGCCATTCTAGCAGTTGGCAACCACCTCATGTGTCAAGTGCGATTGGCTTCAGGAGCAGGGAGCGGATGGCATCGACGTGGTGCTCAACAGTCTCAGCTGCTTGGCCAGAGGGGTTAACCGGTGCTCAAATCACGTTCAGTGCTTCAGAGTGGCGTTTTCCTCGCGTTCAGAGTGACGGAAGACCAGACAACCGCTCCGGGAAGCCGCCAGAACTTGTGAGGGTTGGCCGAACAGGTATCTGGGCATGGGTCGAAATAAAGCCACCAAGGCACCGCAGGTTGTCATTGTTTCCATGTACCAGGGTTCCATTTTGGGGTTACCCTATTTTTGACCCACATGCATCTGGGATCATTTTCAAAGGGAACCAACCTGCGACGGACTTGGAGATCTCCAACGGCTTCTTTGGCACTGTGGCTGTCCTGTTCTCTTTGAAAAAGGAAGTCCAGCTTGGGAAGAGCCCATGTCATTGGGTAGGGCGGTTTGGTTTGCTTCTTGCTTATTCTTGCGCTCAGAGACCCCTTGAGGAAATGGCTTGGCCGGGACCAGTCTGTTTTTCACCCGGGGACAAACGCAGAGGTCCACGGTTGCTTTTCAAAAACAGGGGGGGTCCCTTGCGAGCCGGCCGGTCGGTCCGTTTTTCTAGGCCACGACGACTACATCGGCCGGTCCTTGGCGCTTCTGAAGCCGGGAGGTCGCTTCGTAGAGATCGGGAAGCGAGGCATCTGGAGCCACCAGCAGCGTCTTGGATCGAGCCAGCCGCTGGGGTGGGGTCTCCCTTCCCGGGGGGGGGAGGGGGGGGAGGTCCTTTCAAACCGTCCAAGGTTCAAGTTCCCTTCAAGAAAGGACACCCAAAAAGATGCCGGCGAAAAAGGAGCAGCCTCAAAAGCCACAGGGGACACCAACAACGGTGTCTACTTTTCCCGGACCCTTTCGTTTGAGAAAAAGGTCCAGCAACCATTCAGGAGGGCTTCGCCTATGAAAACTCATGCCCAAACAGGGGGGCATTTTTAGAATCTCACATGGTCTGGATCAAAATTGGGTGAATGGTGGCAGAATTGCGCATGGCTTCACTGTCACCCCCTAAGTGGTACATTAAAGGGAAACCACAAACCAGTTTCTGACTTTGATAACCCCCAGGAACAGAACGAAAAGGCAGCGGTGCCACATTTGGCCCCCATAAATGTGTGGATTCGTGCCCAGCGCTGGCATTTGCCATTTGCCTGGAGTGAAAACTATTCCCCACCTAAAACGTGCCTCATGCTAAGAATGAGGACATAACTGACACAACTGGGGAAATGTGTTTTTGGTGCCACGTGCTGTGATATCACAGGATATTCGTTGAATTCATTAAACAAGGCAGTAGTCGCGATGTCGGTGCCACAGAAAGAATGACTTTGCACACCCACCACTGGCATTACAGGGGTGCACCATTTGACAATCACCAGCAAGAAATGATTCTGCGCGGAGCAATACCAAAAAGAAAAAAGCCCCTGCGAGAGATGAAACATACGCTGCAGAGATGGAAACAAGAGGATGGATCACGCAGAAACCAAACAATGCCAGATTGCACAGAGCCGGAAACAAGTAGCAGAGTTTACCTTTGGTAACTCCCACATAGTCACGGCAAACTTGAGTTACTGTCTCCACGCACTTTGGCTAATTTGGTTATCGTTGGTTCCTGTTGCTTTGGATTGTTATTTCTGCAAGTTGAAATTGCTGAAAGCGTGTAGTTTCATGTGAAATTATGAGGACCTGGCAGGTTCAAATCGAGGTGACACTTTCTCCGATCTTCAAAGTACTTGACAAGAAAAGTATCCTGATTCCTTACTTCATGGTCCAATGCCATGAGTACAGGGTGAACCTTTCAATGATTTCCCAACCGTGTGATATTGAGCCTATCTCAATTTCCTAAGCTGTTGGTGTGCTTGTCGTGCGGAAACGGTTTGTTGCTGCTGCACTCCTGCTTACGGTCTATTTGGGTTTGGTTTCTTTCGAAGGAAGCCCAAACAAATACCTTCAAAACAGACACCCGTTGGATTTGCGGAAAGCCTCAGAGCGATGCTCTGAGGATGTTCGATGCTCGCACCTTTGCTGCAGGGAGTCAGGGGTCAAAGACGTGGTGACTTGAGGTCAGGGATGGTCATGGACGCTTCAGGGATCTTAGACAATCAGTGTAAGGGCTCCTACCAACCGAACCATAACGGAGCGAGGTTTGACGAAAACAAAGGTGGCAAAACCTGGGTAAAGGATGGTAAGAGACATTCGGTGCGGCCACCCTTGTGATTAATTACATGGTAGTGTGTAAACCTTTTTTACTGCCGGGGTTTGATTGTGACTCAGGCCATTTTGAACTTGCCTGTGAAATCTTTCAGAGGTATCTAGTATGCTCAGAGGGTGATCGTGGTTCCCCTGCCACCGGCTAAGATGGGACCATCCCTGCAAGACCTTAAAGGAAGCTGGTTTCATGTTAGTGGGTGGGAAAGGCTTTTTTCAAAAGGAGTTGATTCCTTTCAGGCATTGCTTGAATCACAGATTCCGAGGGGTTCTAAAGAAAAAGTTCAGAGGGTCGTTGATACACCAATCCCAGCTGAAGGCAGATGCTCGGGCGGGAGGATCGGGATGTCATAATACCCGCCAAAAGCAGCCTCTGAACTGGCTTGCACATGCGTTGGCCATTTGCGAGTTTTCTGAAGTAGGAACTCCTTTTTGGCTGATACGGCCCCATCCAGGTTCCCCGCGTATGTCCAGCTGCTTGAGCACAGTGCTCAATGTGTGCGGCTTGCACGTTGCTTTGGACATGTCGCGCAGAACATGAGACGAAAGTGTTGCTAGTCAGCTGATCCATCAGCGCAGGTCCGGATGTCATGTATGAGAAGATTGCAGCTGACACGATGATGGAGAAGGACAGGTTCACGAAAGGCGTCCTACGCTGTCGCGTAGCGCCCCGCAGGCAACACAGACCCAGTCCATACTTGCCAGGCGCCCCCTCACCCTGCCGCCCAAAAAGGGCCCTGGCAGGGTGGCAATCATTTCTTCGTGGAGCTCAAACTCCAAGCACTTGAACCTTATATTTGTGCGAGGAGAGCTGCCACAACTAGCAGCAGTCGCAAGAAGGGCACATGTGGCTGAACAGCTCAGAGGTTCCCTTCCTTGCCCCAGCCACAGTGCAGGAGCCTTGGCGCTACAACGCCTACCTGAAGCGCTTGAAGGAGCGCGTGGATCAGAAGGCCCTGCGGCCAATCAATATGCGCCTCGGCTCGAGACTGCATGTGAGAGCCTTGGCACGTCTTACCTTGGAAGAAATTTGCCCCAAGATGTCAAGGTCCTCTAACCCAACCACGGACCAGAAAAATACAGCCAAAAACCCAGATGGGGTGATGTTTGCAGGCTGCTTTGTGCTTGCAACCTGGTGGCAGGCTATTGGCGGGGTTGAGGCTGTGAATGATAATATTGATGTTGACTTTGAAGAGGATGCAGAAAGTACATCATCGGATATGTATGTACCTGAATCACAGGAGAAGGATGAAGAAGACGGCAAAGCCTGTCGGCTAAAGTTGCAAAAATAGAAGAATTACGGTTGTTTCCCCCTTTCTTGTTGATTCTCTCTCTTTCTCTCTCCTGCCCTCTTGGTCTTGCAATGCCTTTGCTGTCGATAGAATGCTTCGCGTAAATCGCATATGTATAGTTTGTTTCTCTTTCTCTGTCTCATGTTTGATTTGTCGATCTATCTGTCTATCTATCTGTGTATCTGTCTATCTGTCTATCTGTCTATCTATCTGTCTATCTATCTATCTATCTATCTATCTATGTATCGATCTATCTAGTCCATCTGTTTGCCTGTCTGTCTTTCGGCCTAGCTATGTCTCATCTTTCTACCTATCGGTCTCTCTATGTATCGATCTAGACATCTATCGATCCAGCATGATCCGTCATGATCTATCATGATCCATCTATCTATCCATCTAATTATCCATCTATCAGTGCTCCGAGAGTGCTGCGCCTACCAAGAAATCTGCACCTGACCTTGCAGTAGTGCCGCGCCTTCCACGAAATCTGTACCTGACCTTGCAAAAGCGCTGTGCTTGCCACGAAATCTGTACCTGACCTTGCGAAAGTGCTGCGCCCGCCACGAAATCTGTACCTGACCTTGCGAAAGCGCTGCGCCTGCCACGAAATCTGTACCTGACCTTGCGAAAGTGATGCGCCTGCCACAAAATCTGCACTTGACCTTGCAAAGCGCTGCGCCCGCCACGAAATCTGCGTGCCAGTTTGCACGTCGGCGCCAATGGGCCAATGGGAGTTGCGACACGTCCGGGCATTGCCAAAATGCTGATTCTGTCACGCTATCTGCGACTGAGTCTTGACAAGTGATGATGCAAATGCCACGAAATCTATACCTCAGGCTAAAGCGTTTCGCCTGCCACAAGGTCACAATCCCAGCAAAGTGCCGCGCCTGTCACGTAAGCTTAAGTCGCGAAAAGCGCGCGTCCGCGCCAATGATTCCGGACCCGAGACAGTTCCGCAGAGACGCCACAACCGGCAGAGGGTCACTCTTTCTCGCGGTTTCGATTCCGCCACCACACCTGCACGCATGTTTTCGCATGCGTTTAATTTTCTCTTCATCTTATCTATGCGCAGAACTACCTTCAACGTGTGTCCGTAGCATGGAAGGAGAAGGGTCAGAATGATAGGCATGAGAAAGAAGAAGATGATTACGATGATGACACAAAATTGTACTAAGGACAACAATAATATTGCACATTGCATGTCTTGTCATGTGCCCGCACACACGCACACTCTGTCATCTTGCGGCACTTGTGTTTGAGCAATCATTTCTGGTGTCTGTTGTTGTGACCTTGGATTTCTCTTTTCCTCCGCTCAAAGACGTGACTTGGCCAGGCACATCTTCGAGGGCATGGAGAGGGGCGTGCAGGCGCTGCAGTTCCTGCAGCGCGCTAACAACATCGGCAAGGTGGTCATCAGCTCCCCGAGCCGCACCTCGCCTGAGAGATGTGGTGGTATGAAAAGGTTTGGGGGCCTAAAATGATGGCTTTCCTTTCGGTGTTCCGTCGAACATCTTCCAACCGTGGATAGATGGATGCCACTTGTTTTATCTAGCTCTAAGGTCTGCTGGAAGCTTTTGCTGGTTTTTTTGTTAAGAAATAGTACCAACCCAAAAATTATGGGGCCCCCAAAATGGCTGGTGTTCGGTTGGTTCTCCTTTGAAGCAAGCCCACAACGCAAAACGGGTGCCCTCCAAAGCAGACACCGTCAACCCAAATCAGCTAGGGGCGGTCATGCCAGGAACTCCTACATCGGTTCACGGCAGGTTGCCGAACAACAGAATGATGGCTCATGGGATGCGCGCAATCGTACATGAGCTTGCGCCTTCATGTTAAGTGGTTGATGCCAGGGGTGGGTATCCGCAGCATGTCCCAAACATCAGTGGATTTTTAGGAGTCAAGTGAGGGTGTAAAAGAAGTAAGGAACATTGGAACCTCTTGTCGATTTTCCGGAGGAAAAAGCCATGCATTCATCGCCCGCATGGAATTGGAACAATACTCCTAGACACGTGCCAAGCTGATTTCTCTTGTCACCTTCGCCAACTGGGTTCTTGAGAAGAAAGAGCTAGCCACTTTGAACATCCTCAAATTGCTACCTGCCGCTCGGAGGATCCGGGATTTGTTTTTTTGACACTGTCTTTAGTACGTCTTCTAAATGCCTGTTCACAACATAGGGTACCGGCTCATATGTTTCCGTTTCCCCGCCGAATGGGCGGCTGTGCATTCTAAATGCAGCCAGAAACCAGCCAACCTAGGCCTGCAGTGCTCAGAGGGTTGGCCGCTGCTCAGCGGTGGCTTGGGGGCCTTGGGCGTGGTCACGGGGCTCTTCCTGGTGGAGGAGGGTGCCAAGGGCCTGGTCCTCACCAGTCGCTCCGGGCAACCGGCCAAGGAGCGCGGGAAAAGTAGAAAAAAAAAGCTCTTGGTGGCTCCCAGCCATCCCCTTGGCTTTTGAGTTTAGTGTTTAGCGGTAGTTTCCATTTAGCCGACTAAAAGTTAAACTTTCAGCGTTCCCGACTTTTTGCAGAAGCTCCTGTGATGTTTTTTTTTGGTTGGGTGGTGGTTTTTGGTTGGCTTCATTTCGAAGGTCTGTGCTAACACCTACCCATGTGAGGCAAAAAAAAACGCCAATGAAACATGAGACCCATATGGGATCTCATAGGAAATGGGCATGCGGCAAACGAGGAGAGGCTTGCTGCTGGCTTTCCTTTTGGATTCCCTTGAAACCAACCTGGGAGGTCCTTTTTTTTAGGGATCCAAAAAGCAGCTGGTACAAAGGAACCCAGGGAGAATCGTGCAGAAGCGATTCCGGGATTTGACGGTGGCACAACTGCATGCCCCTGGCTGGGACCTATTTGGACATAGAGAACCCTGGATTTCTTTGATTCAGGCACTTCCGTGGTGACACCTTCCATAATTGACTTGTACTTCTTGAATGAAATCCACAGAATGCCGTGTGGAGAAGGTCGGGGGCAGACATCCATGGCCCTTTGGTGTCAGATGTATTTGGTGGAAGGAGTATAAGTGGGTTTCATGTGAATCTGCAAGAGAGAAGCTACTGCTGGACCATTTTCCCTCAGAGATTTACAGTTTCTGCTCCCTAATCCTCACACGGAAAATATCCCAAAGAATCTGGGGTCGTGACCTGGCAAATCCAGCGAGCTCGTGTGTTCCTTTTCGGAAGACCAAGCTGCTGGGTCCAACCAGTTTTCTCTTGACACATCCCACGGGTTGTTTCAAAATGACCCCCCAAAACAAAAACACAAAAAGGTTGTTGCAAAGCGCCCAAAAAGGCGCTCTCAAACAAAATCGACGCAACTGACCCCTTCTGTCGTTTGTTAAGAAAGCAATAATTAGGGACAAAGCAGCCGGGAATCTTTCTGACACGTCAAGTTCTTTGCGTGCATGCAGGATGTTGGGCCTCAGTGGTCCTGGCTGCAGAAGAGTTCAGTGGAGCTATGCATCGAACGCTGCGACGTGGGCCGCCGGGGCTGCAAGAAGCTGAATTGGCTTTGATCGCCTTGCAAGGTATGTCCTAGCCATTACCTGTAAATGCCAACCCGTACTGACCTGTGGTTACAAAGCAATAGCTAAGCAATCAAAAAGCAATGGGGAAAACCGCCCGTGCCTAGTCTCACTCGCCCAAAACCAACCTTGCAGCCTATTTATTTTAACTTGTTGGTCAAGGTTGCAAACGGTGAACCATTTTTCCTTCCAAGTCCTTTGAGCACGTGAATAACTGAAGCGGTGGTTTGGATTGGGGGGATTTGAACCAGTTCCTCCCCAACACCATTGGCTCAAGCCATCAGCTGGAGAGTAGAGTGATTGGAGGGGGTGGTTGCATACAGAACCATCAAGCTGTTCATCAAACTGTTCAAGCAAGGGTGGTTTTTCATATTTGCCTGGTTAGGATCACAGGCGTTGCAGTGGTATTTTCCTCTAATGTTGCTTTGACTGGGAAAGGGGCAACTGGGCAATCAAATCACTTGATGCTCAAAAGAAAGCCCGAATAGCACCTTGATGCTCAAAAGATCAGCTTACTTCCAGCCAACTTGCACTCCTGGGGAGGATCTCGGTGCAAAACCAAAACTCGGATTGGGCACAGGTGACAACGGTCCCGACGTTTCTGAGTCTGAGTTTGACCAGTTTGAAACGTGAATCTGGGGAGAACAGGAACCCAGAGTGAGCGCTCAGCTAGCATCCAGGAGTCGCTCGTGTGTTTTCTAAGGCAGCGAGAGCTCGGTGGTCGCGCTGCGCGATGCATTGAAGAAGCGAGGAGCATGCGCCGGGGACCCCCCCCAACCTGTTTGTTGTTTGTGGGTGGAAAAACCAAGTCCCATATTACAGCCCAAGGGTCCTCAGGGTTTGCCGTCTTTCGTGGAAGACAACGGCCAAAGTGTAGAAACACTGTGAAAGGGGTCCCGTTGTATCGTACAAGGCGGTCAAAGGCAAACCAGGTTCCTACATCGTCAAAAGCGAGTGCCAAAAAGGTCAAGGCTGATGTTGCAAGCGACCATACTGTGAGCATGTGGCAAACATGGCATGGTCGTGGTTTGACGTTATCGAAGAGAAAAGCTTTAAACATTGAATTATGACCCATCAAAAATGCACAGCAGGTAGGAATCCAAAGTGTGAACCAAGGTTGTTTGGGTGTTTCCCTGCTGGATCCCGTATTCTACGAGAGGCCTTCTGACTCCACGGTGGTGCCATGTTCCTTTCAAGAAAATGATCAGCATGTAAATAATCTCCACTGCAAGCATGGGAAATGGGGCAAGTAAATGAGCTGTTTGAGCTTGGCAGAATCTAGTTGGGTTCCTCTTCCATTTTGGCCGAGGGACGAGCCTTCGCTTGTAGCTTTTTGGTTGCTGTATACTGAGTTTCACGCCGTGCCAAACCGAAGCAACGCAGGAGCGGCGCTGGGTGGCTTGATGCACCTGGCCGGGGTGCTGGCGGACGGGGTGCTGCCCAGCCTCACGCGGGAGAGTTTGGACAAGTCCTACGGCCCCAAGGCGCGCGGGCGCGCGGGCGGGCTCAGCCGAAGCCAGCGACCTGCAGAAGGAAATGGGAGTTGAGAGAAGCCGGTTGTTTTTGGCGGCCACCTATCAAAGAATGCTTCTAGAATGAGCTCGAGCAGATATCAGCCACAAAGCTTGTTGACCTATGACCGATGCTTAGGTGCACGGCCTGTTGCACCTTTGCCGCCTGCTGGACTTCCAAAAAACTTCGCCGCACCTGCTCTTCTCCTCGACCTCCGCGCTCTTTGGATCTCCAGGCGCTCGAGACGTGGGTTGTTAGGAAAGAAAGGAACCCTGGCACACTAGGTGACCGAAGGTTTTGGGTTTGTCCTTTTTGAACTACCCTCGTGCTTCTGGTGGACTTGTGTTTGGCTCTCTATGGATCTTTTCTTAAGGGAACCCCCCCCAAAAAAAAAGAAGAAGTGGCTTTTGGCTTCCCTTTACCCACCACAAAAAGGGGGCACCCTCAAAACAAGCCACGTTGATCCCTTTGCCCTTCCAGGCCAGGCCAACTACTCCGCCTCCAACTCGGTGCTGGACTCCTTGGCGCCGTTTTGGAGTGCCCAGGACTGAAATCCACTCGCGAAGAGCTGGACGTGCTGAAAGCTGAGGGAGCTTTTTGCGAATGGCGGTTCTTTCTCTAGCGGGTAGCAAAGCGTCCAAACCGAGCTGGGAGCTTATTTTCACTACTGCCCTGGGTGATGAAATGGGGTTCATTTGGGCGTGAAGCACCCCCGAGCAATCCACAAGGTGTGCGCAGCTCAGGAAAGCTCAGGAAATCCCCAAACTTCGCATTTAAAACAGAAAGACAACTAAACGCCAGCTTTCTTTTTGTTATTGTTCTTTAAAGCAGGGTCTTAGAAGGGACAGCGGTGCAACGGGTCTCACGGGTTTTCCCCAGGACCCCGAGAGCGCCATCTTCCGGAACGCCCGCTCGGTGCAGTGGGGCCCGTGGGCTGAAGCTCAGCTTGGGCTTGGGTTTGGGGTTTGGGGTTTGGGCGGGACGCACATAGGGCCAACAGCAACCAAGAGCCCACCCCAAAAGAAAGGACGCCTTTTCTTGGTGCGCTCCATGAAAGTCAGGCGCACAGGGGTCCTTGTTGTGTGAGTTTGGTTACAAATAGATGGGTTCCACTGGTTTAGATGGGGTCTTGTTCCATTTAGGGCCCCTATTGTTCCCAAAGGCCATCTATGGGTATGCAACTCATCTCGGGTAACCACGTATTGGTGGCTTGGATTGGTGGTTTGGGGTTTTTAACGGTTCTTGTAGAGATGGGAAACCCCTGAACCAACCAATCCATTAGCTTTTTTGTTGAGATTTTTTGTGGATTTTCCATTGGACCAACAGCTAGACTTTTTGCAGAGGGGTCAACAGCCACCAAGCCAAGGCCGTACTCTGCGGCCTCTTTCAGAGGTGCGCTTTGGTTCTTGCAGTTTCTGAAAACGGAGCAATTCCTGCAGGTTTTCCCTTGAAAGCATCCAAAAGGGAACACCTATTGTGAGAGACATCCAAATGGGCCTTCCCTTCAAACAGTTGATGGCGATTTACCCCTCGTCCGTTTCTTTGTCCTGTTCCTCCCCCTCCCTCCCTCCCTCCCTCCATGCCCCACTCCCTCCCTGCCTCCCTGCCTCCCTGCCTCCATTGAACGTTTTCGGCTCAGGAAGTGGGCATGGCGGTGCAGGCGAACACCTTGGGCCGCGCAAAGTCCATGGGTCCTTCCCTCGGAGCTCTCAGTTTTAGCGAACCTGCCACCCACCCGGGGCAGATGAAAGGGATCTGCGGCCATGTCCAGGGATTTGCGGCCCTGTTTCTTTCAGGGGTAGTGGTTTGGTGGTAGTGGAGACCGGTCGTGGGACCTGGGCAGATAGAGCCTATTTTGGTCCAAATCCGAAATCCGGATCTGGCAAAGGGATTTGGATCAACCTGGATGGAGTCCCTTTGGCTTCCCTTTGTCCCTGCAAGCAGGGTCCTTGGGACCTTTCGGACAGGCCCAATGGAGCCATGGGCTCCTAACGTTTGGGCAGTATGTTGTGGTCAACAAATGTATCGTCCGTTGAAATCCTCCTGTGACACCCAAGAGGCACAACACTCGCCACTTTCCCCACCCAAATGCATGGAAGGGATGGGCGTACCCCGAAATGGAGACTTCTCCACTTCTTTGAGAAGAATGGGGATGCTCAGTGGTTTAGATGGGTTTCATGCCATGTATGCCATATTTCCTCGGGAAGACCCCATCTATTCACCCAAAAACCAGGCCCATATCTGGCCGAAGTCCCCCGAACACCAAAACCGAGGCGTGGGCGCTCTCAGCAACTCCCAGGGCCTGGCGGTGATGAGCAGCGCCTCGGTTCAGATTTTGGCAACTAGGTCCCCCAGTGCCCTTTTCTCCAGTTTCTTTGTTTGGGGAGGGTTCTTTTGCTAAAATAGACCGCAGAACAAGGGATTTGGGGAGGGTTCCCCTGCTAAAATAGACCGCGAAAAAGAACAAGTTGGTGCCCTTATTCTAGCCTCTCTGGAGGACCTAGAAGAGGTTGAGATGGGTTTGGAGAGAAAGTCGAAAGTTTGCAAGACCTGAAAGGGTGGTTTTGTTCATCCCCTATTCCCTTTTTGCGGTTGGCGATGCTCGTAGGTCGGAAACCTAAGTTAAAACCCCTGAATATGCATGCAGCAAGTAGCACTCAAGCAAAAAAGTATATGCCTGGTTTACTTTCGGTTTCGAGAAAATTGGATATGAGTTGAATGCCTGGGCATTAGGGTTTTGAAAGGGCAACCAAGAGGAAGCGAATGGTTTCCATTTGGGTGTGGGTCAAAAAAGGTGCCCAAAAAATGGAACCCTGGTAATGGAAACAAGACCCATACCCATTTGAATACCGGCCCTTTTGAAGACCCAGCCCTTTTTTGGGCCGGTTTTCTGTCCAGCGCTTTCGCTTCAGGCATCTTGTGCAGCTCGAACTTGGTGGTGGGCGCCGTCCCTGTGCGCTGGGGCAAATACCTGAAGCCGGGGCCCAAGAGACATGAGCCGGAGACGTGGCGCTGGGAAGACGTTTTGCTTTCCGGATGGAAACCGCCTGGAAAGTGCGGTTTGGGACGCTTGGAAGCTGGGCATCGACGGACGAATGCCGGAAGGGCTGTAAGGAGTTCCTGAATGCTGAAGGGTGCTTTCTTTCTGCCCCGTTCAGTTGCAGTTGCGGACTTTAAGGTTGTGCATTTGTGGTTGCTGGCAGTGCTATGTCGTTTCTTGGCCCTTCTTGGTGGTTTTGAAGGGAAACTAGAGGGACACCACCCAGCTTGCACCCATTGTGGAGATTTCCGAAGTTTGGAGACAAACCCTCTGATCTTCGTGGCTCCTAGATCTGAATTCCCTTGCCTGAAAGCCCAGGAGCGCCTATCCGCAAGTTCCGAGCTTCCTGAAGGACTTCGAAGCCGAAGCCAAGCGGGAGGCAAGGGGGAGAAGAGAAGCGGGAGAAGTAGGAAGGGGGTCAGCAAGAAGCCAATGGCTTCTCATGCGAGAAAGAGACCAGTTGCTTTTGGGGACCAGGAATAGCGACTGCGGGGGGGAGATTCCGCCCATGAAGGTTACAGGATTCTTACAGCTTCCCTTGTCCACGTGCGGTGAATGACTATTCATGCGGATGCGGGTGGCAGTGCAACAAGTAGCCTCATGGCAAGCTCGGCACCCAGTCGAATGTTCAAAAGGTAGCGAACATGAAATCAACCATCTACATAGATGCCCTTTGAACAAAATCCAATCTCAACAAACCTTGACATGTTGTTCGACTTTGGTTTTAGGTCAAGTGACCTGGCTAAAACCTGAACTGCTCAAAGCCCATCACATGTTTTGCTTTTGTTTTGGTTTGATGGCTGGACGCTAAATGCCAGAGCCAAAGGGTCGTGAAACAGTCATCAGTTGTGTGACGTGTCCACCGGAAAAAGGAGTTCCACCCAAGTGCGAGTGAGGGCGGACCCCTAGGCCCGTGAACCTTACAGTTGTTTTTGGTTGGGAGGCCTTCTCGACAATTGGGTCCAATGCAGCGCACCACACCGTGCCCCCCAAAACAGGCAGGTTGTGGACAGTCTGTAGTTGGTAAAACCCATGGTTGCAACTTGCCCGCTCAAACTCGCGTGAAACTCGCAGAGCCTCACCAAGCCCCACTCAAAGTGGCTGACTGGCCATTGGGAAGAGCATCGGTTTGAAGATCAACGAACTGAACATCAATGGATTTGCTTTATTTTGTGTCCACCAATGGTGAACTTTGATTTCCACCAATTGATTTCTTGTTTTTGGTGAACTGTGCATCGTTTTGAAGATCAACAAACAATGGAGTTGTAGGATGTACAGATGTTTTTCGAGAACTTTGATTTGTTCACGACTCACGACGTAGCCCTCGCGCTTTTTTCCGCCGCAGGCTGCGGAGGCCCGCGCTGCCCGGGGCGAGACCTCCGGGGGCGGGGCGTCGGCGGCGCTGGCCGGGCTGTCCGGGGAGGAGCGTTTGCAGGCGCCGGGTGTGCGGACGCATCGGGTTTTCCACCGCTGAACATGGAACCGAACAGAGTTCTATCATTTAAGAAGGACCTTCTTTTGGGTGACCCCTGCTTTTTAGGTTCCACGTTGATTTGCAGGCGAGTAAACATAAACAGATGTTCTTGATATAACTGTCCCATTCTGAGCACAGGCATTCTTTGCGAACATCGGCCAGAAATCCAGGGGACCGGGATGACTTGTTCAAAGTCCAGCTCCAAAACCTGACGGTTGCAGAAGTTCGGTAGCTGTGCCGGCGAATAGAATTGCGCCGAATGATTATCATTTGCCCAAAACATGTGGAGGGAGCTGAGCAGGTGCATGCCTCGGAGATGGAAGCCTTTGTCTGATGAGAGAGCATTGGGCAGGCGGTGAGACCGTTCCGAGGATCTCTCGAGCAAGATGTGTTTGATATTGTTTCATGATAGTTCCACGGGAAAATCCTCACTTTGGTCTGAAGCAAAGCGCTAGTTGCTTGCTTCAGTGATGCTTTGGACAACCGAGGCAGCCCACCACGTTTGCGCTTTCCCTGCCAGGCCGTCCAACTCAGCCTGCGAGACCTCGCGCGAGAGGCTGGGGTTTGTTTGTCGCAGCGAGATACAAGCTTGAATTCCTTGCAAGCCGCAAATGGTGAGGGCTTGTTACCCATGTCGCTTGCCCTCCAACCTTTGAACCTTTTGGTTTCCCTGAGCATATCAGTTGTCCCTTTTGGTTCCCCGATTTGGCTCCCTGATTTGGCAGTGGCTCAAAATTAAACAGCTGGGGTTACGCAGGTTTTGGTCCATCCACTTACCAGGGCAAGCATTTTGGAATTCCGGTTCTTTGAGCGGCCCATACCCATTTGGTCAGTCCAAAAGGTGATGCTATTTCCCGGCAACTGAATGGTTGAGGTCATCGCCTCCGAGAACCTCGAGGCGGACAACCCACTCATGGAGTCGGGCATGGACTCCCTCTCAGGCACCGTTTGATCGATTCCTCACGTTTGGTGGACGCTCGTTTTTGTGGTGTGTGTTGATTGTTGTTTTTCCTTGGAAGGGGGGGGAGTTGTGAGAGGACCATGTTCCCCCCCCCCCTTTCGGAACCTGCTTAAAAATGGTCTTATTTGAACCACCCTTCCTTACCTTGCAGTTTTATATGCAGCCGACAAGTCATGCGGGTGGGTCAAAAACACAAGGTCCTCAGATCGTTGCGTATTCGCCCAGTGGATGCCGGTAGTTGCCGTTGGGGTAGTAAGAGCGACACTCAGCTGGAGAGGAACAGTCTATTGTGGGAAATGGGGCAGGTTGCCACTGTTTGACCGGCATCCCTGATGAGCAGTCGCATTGACACGTTTGGAGTGTTTGGCCGCAGTAAACATTAGGGTGTCTAATTTTGAGGGGGGCCCTTTAAGGTGACAAAGATAGCCAGTCATTTTGTCAGGGTGCTCCAGGGCAAGCTTGATCAGCTTTCCGTGTGTCCACTCTGGATCTTTGTCTGCCAAAAGTGATCCGGATGCACTCCAAGAAGGGGCACCCCCAAATCAAAATCAGGGGTGCATGAATCAATTGGGTAAATCAACCCAGGCTGTTTTTGCAAAGTGGGTTTCCAAGAAGAAAGCAGCTTCACTGCAACCCTGGGTAAGCTGAAGCGCAGGTGTGGAGTTCCGGAACCGGCTGCAGACGGAATTTGAGGGTGTGAACTTGCCGAACTCTATGGTCTTCGACTACCCGACAGTTTCAGAGACTCAGCTCAATGAAGGGGCCCTTTCTGAAACCCAGTTTGGGCGTGAAAAAAAATATGGAAACTCCACGAATTGCCGCCTGGCCCCTTTTCAAAAAGAAAAACCGGGCTCCATTTGTTTGTCCAAAAGGACTGCGGCCCAGGAACTTCACCACGGCATGTGCCCGCATGTACCTCGCGGTTTTAGTGCCATACGTCAGCAAGTTCTACTGGTCTCAGGGGCATGAGCAAGTGTGGAAGCCTCCATACAAAAACAGCTCAGTATATAATATAGCTTGGGTAGAGAAGGGAAAATAAGGTCGCTATGCAGGTGGAGCTTGCGAACCAAGGAGCTGGCCGGCTACATCAACAGCCAGCCCGCAGCTCAGAGCCGCACCGATCGCCGAGACTCGAGGGAGTCGGACCATCGCATTCCGCTGGGCCATGTCGTATTTCTCAGCTCGAAAATAGGTACGGCCAAGGATGAACTCAGGGTGGAAAAGATTGGTATTGAAGTATTGTGCCGTGTTTTCTTTGAAGCCCGATTGCTAGGCGTGTCCGACCGGAAAAAATAAAACTGGATGCAATGGTCTCTATGCAAGTCGAAGAGAGCCAAAAGGGAGGAGACCTACTCCAGCTTGAGAACTGTCTAATCGTTGCTCACACGTGGCATCCGTATCGGCTGAATGAGCCGCCATCGAAGCCCGGGTAGATGAAAGTTACGGATACTAACCATGGTTTTGGGTAGACAGTTTTTGACCAGGTGTTGAGTATGTCTCGATTTTTTTCTCGTTGGGCTTCCGTGAGCAAACTGGTGAGCAGCTGGTCGGCCCTTACTGAATTGGCTTAAGGCGCACTTTCCGATGGCTGAATCAACAAGCATCAACCACCGGGGCCTCGTTTGGCATGTTACATTTTAAGGCTTGCTGAATCTGGGCCAGAGTTTCAACATGTGGTTTTAGCTTGGGGTAAAAGCAACGAAAGACCTTGGGGGGGGGGGCCACTTGAAGCCGGTGTCTCCAGGTTGAGCGACGTCCCAGCCACTTCGGGCACCTCAGCGGCGCCATCGGCACCGAAGAGCACCTCATCCGATAGCTTCGTTGAGCCATTGAACAGCCACTGCGCAGGCGCGGATCACGGGCTCGGATCGCGTTTATCTTGCATTCCCTTGGAGAAATAAACAGACACGGTGATCTCGTTGACCCCTTAAGTGATATTGGCAGCGTTGCCCGGTGAGATCCCTTCGTGCGTCCAAGGTATTTTTGCTGAAGTGTGGCCGTGAGGGGAGGCATGGGCGGGAGGTTGTCAAAATATGGCAGCGCTGTTTGGTGGTTGACCTGTTCCTTTGTCACATAGGGGGGTGCCTTCAAAAGAGGTCGCAAATGATGTGTATAATGACCGTCATTACAAGCTGGACCAAACGTGCAGTTCGTGGTTGAAAACACAACGGTACGAAATCAAAGCTATGGCAGCTATGGACATTTGTTCGGCTGCGTAAATAAATCCATGTGCCGAGCTTGTCCAAGGTGGGTTTGCCCCTTTCACATGAAACCAAGAGTTCCAGCCAGGCCGCAAGCCTGACAACGTCGATCTTACACTAAGTGTGCAGGGCTCCAAAAGGTGGACAGTTTTGGTTGGCCCTCGCCGAAAAGTTCAACCAAGAGTTGTCATCCCATCTCAAAGCTACAAAAGCTCAGCTCAAACCCCTGCCCCCGAAGTTCTGTGAGCAAAAGTGAATTACTGCAAAGGAGCTGTGCCACGCGATGGCCACGATCTTACCTTTCAGCTTGAATGATATGAGGCCAATTTGTGGAGTTGGATCCTCCAAGGGTGATTTTGGGCAAAAAAGTCAGCTCACCTGGAGTAAAACGAGCTCACCCACGATAACAGTCCCCTAAATCAGGGGGTTCCCTGATTTCCCCTTAGGATTTGTGAGGTGCCCCGATAATTTCGCGCACCGATGTCGCAGGCGGCATTGAAAGCGCCGACAGCCGGCCTATCTTCTTGGTGCCGGGCGCAGGCGCGGGCGAAACGCCTCCGAAGGTTGATTTGTGTCCCGGGTACAGGGGTGTTCTCCATAAGGGAATGGGTATGGGTCAAAAATTAAACCACTAGGGGACTGCAGGTTTTAGTCCTTGGTTTCACGTACCGGGGAAGCCAATTTTGGTGCCTATTTTTTGACCCACAGCCAAATCATGTCCTCGGCATTTGGGTTGTCTCCAAGTCTGATTTATGTGGACCCAAAAGGAAAACAACATCACCCAGAAACAGGACCCTCACAACGGACGCATCTATATGTCAAAATAGGAATCCCTCCAACTGAATGGGCCAGAAAGGGTTCCCAGAAAAGCCATATCCAAGTACTGCCCCTAGGCTGATGTCCTAAGCGTTTCCATTCTTAGGACTTGTCCTGGTTGCCTTGGGCACTTGGAAGATGAAACGTAATCAGAAAACCCACATGGTTTGCAGTGAGCGGGAAATATCAAAACCTGGGATTCGTCTGTGCTGTTTTGAGAAGGTTGAAAGCTGCAAGTAGCTGGCTTGACTTGGGCCACTTGCCAAAACTCGGTAGATGCAGGTTAGTATGGGGCAGTTCCAGCCCAAAATAGGTGAGCCGCCTTTTACTTTCCTTACATGGATTCGGCAGGACCATTTTAATGCCAGGTGTTGATTGTGACTCGCTTGAGGTTGATTCCCTTGACGTGGCCAGCAAACTATCGGAGAACCCAAAGCAAAATCCGTGTTCTTGTTACACTTCCCAAGAAGAAGCCTTCCTCAAGGAAAATCAAAACAAAACGCCTGCCAAAGGCAGCAAGACTTGCCAAAGCAAACCGCACATCTTTTTTACAAAAACCGAATAAACGAAGTGCCAGCCACAAGCTGCAAAAGCAAGAAACATCGTGTTTGTTTTTGTTCCGCGTTTTTGACCCGAGCGCAGAAACCAAGAAGGCCCGTTTTGGAGCACCAAAACGCCTTGGGCGGCCTCGGCTCGCGAGGCATGCAGGCGGGCAGCTTCCGCAGCCTGAGCTCGCGCCTGGGGCTGCCGTCCTACGGGCTGACTTGGCCCATGGGGGTGGCGCGCAGCGAGTGGCCCAGCAGCTTGCAGGTGGGGAAGTGGCAAGGGTTTGGGCGGGGAGGGGGAGGAGGGGGGGGGGGGGGAGTTGGGAGTTGGGAGTTGGGAGTTGGGAGTTGGGAGTTGGGAGTTGGGAGTTGGGAGTTGGGAGTTGGGTGAAGTTGTGTGGGGGGGGGGGAGCTGGAGTTCTGGCTCAAGCCTTTACTCACCCAGCCAGCCTCACTGGTGATGGTAGGGTGATGTGCGAATTGGGCGTTTGATGCTACGACATGCTGAAAAGCTGGAGAAGTGCAGAAGCCGTGAAAAAGGAACAGACAGGCAACTGCAGTGGTTTCTCTTGGGTTGCCAGGGGATCATCAGTCTCTAACTACTTGCTGCACAAGAAGTTGGCTTCCCCCAGAGAGGGACCCCTTTGCGCAGGGTCAGGTGACCATAAGTCCTCTCCGACTCACGAGGCGACGTGAGAACTTGGGCCCGAACCCTTTCTGTGGCCCATAGGTACAGAGGTTTAACAAATTTGGTAAACGTTGCCAGGACCTCGCGAAGCATTTCTTCAAGGAGATCCAGAAGGTGCAGCCAACAGGGCCATACCTGTTGGCCGGCCACTCCTTTGGCCACGCGGCAACAAGGCAAGAGAGAGAGAACCAAGAAAAGAGGGATGTACCCACCAGGGCCCAAGGGCCCCATTGTTCCCTTATCCTCTTTAGTCATGAAAATAGATGGATCCCAAATTCAGTTTGAAGGGAGAGAGAGAGAGAGGGACCGTGAGGATGAAGCTGGCGGTGGATGGGAGGCACCGACATCAGGGAAAGCCACCCATTTTTAGAAGGGATGTTTAGATCAAGAATTGGTAGCTTCCCAAAATCCCACAGTTCGAGCCAATGGCTCAATTTCTCGATCGCTGCTTTTGTGAGCCTCACAAAAAAGTATGCGAGGAAATAGACACCTCACTAGGGGGGTGCAGCCTCACTCATAAGGTTCCTTTCATACGAGTCCCTCGTGGTGGGTGCGTGACAATTTGCGAAAGACTACGCTAGTGTCTAGGACCTCATGGGGAACATGGTATATCCCCTTTGTACAGCCATTGCGGGGATTGTATATTTATAGGTTGTTGGATCTGATTTCAATGTACGACACCTGTTGTGGCTTCAGCGATCCCCTTGCGTTTCCGTTTGGTGACTGCTTGGGACCAGGTAACCACCGAGTTGAAGTGTCACTGGACCGGACCTCGCTTTGACACATGGCCATCAGGGGACAAGTGAGCAAGAAATGAAGATGACGATTTTGCTACAAAGAAGCAAGTGAAGCGTCCGAGTAGCGGACCAATGCTTTCGGCGTCCCTCTGAATGCTACGAGCCCAGGCTTAAGGAGTTGATTTCTTCGCGATTTGACAACTGCTTGACTGGCTGGCTTGGGTGACGACATATGTGTTCTGGAAACCCCTATTTTGTGGTTTCCAGACACAAGCTAAGTGAGATGATTGATAGCGTCGCACGAGATTTGCGGCAGGCCCATGGACGTTTGACCAAACCCCCAAAGGTTCCAAATGTTCCTTTATTGTCCCTTGTCCAGGACCCAATCTCTACTCTTCTGGTCGCCAAAGAGGTTTTGCGACAGAAGGCTCATGATGAAGGGTGCTTAATTCTTGAGAGTCCATTTCTTATTTCAGCTTGGTGAATTATCATGATTCACCAAAGCTATGGCAACCAAGAGGTGGAGGAATCATTGATTTTGCTTATTGTGCAATTCGCCCAGACTCTTGCTGGGTTCATGCGTTTTTGGTGGGGTGTCCTTTCTTCAACACGTGAGGGGTTGAAATTTGGTTGTCCCTTCAAGCGAGAAAAAGGTCCTCAGGCACCTTTCCAGCGCATGGTGGCGGTTGCTTCTTTCCCAAGTCCACTCACCTTCCTATCCGTGGGCACCATGCGGAATCCTCTCCAATCTGAGGCGCCAACGTTTGCCTAGAGATGGCCAGCGTGGCGGCACAGCAGGGCCAGCAGGCAGGGGCGGGAAGTGGGATCTGAGGATCTGCCGCTCTGGGGTCAAATTTCAGACGGTCTGATGGTACTCCTCCGTGGACAGCGCTGCCTTGGTTCTACAATTGAACAATCCAGCATAGCTCGGGGGCTAGATTCATTTTTTAGGGAGGTATCATTGCCCTTCAGCCTCGTCGGGGTGACTCTGAAAACGCTGATGCACTGGGGCCAGCTACATGAGCCACAAAATGGTTGCCCCTTCTTGGTTGTTCACAGTAGGAAATACAAGAATGACGCTAACAACTACGTCTTATCAGCGTCCATTTGTGTGGTCATTCCCGCCTTTACAAGAATCGAACAAGCGAATATTTGGTTCAAGAAAGGCAAACCAATTGCACCAGCATAGACCCCAGATGGCGAAAAACTGGCCCCGATGATTGCACAGCAGCACCTCTGACAGCACCCCCGAAGAGCGCCCCAAACAACACCCTCAGAGCACCCAGCCGTCTATCTCGCAAAAATGAGCCCGCACGAGAAGCAGCACCTCAAACAGCAGCCCAAACAGCGCATCCCAAAACAGCACCTGCCACCCCAAACTGCATGCCTCCTGCCACCCTGCCATCAATCTCGCAAAAACACGCCCGTGCCATCACTTGCATGTCCCCCACGTCACCAGCACCTCAAACAGCGCCCACACACAGCACCCCCAAACAGCACCTGCGCCAGCACGCCAAACTGCACGAGCCGTGAATCTCGCAAATCACTTTCCCCTCTTTATTAAAAAAATAGAACCCCTATAGCTTTCACCTATCTGGGAACACGAAACGAGTACCCTGACTGAGACGACTACCCATCCAGCCACTTTACTCAGGTCGCAGCTGAACGAAAGCCCTCGCATCTTCGGTCTCCCTCCCACCATGGAATGCTGGAAGGCTTCAATCATCAGTTGGCGACACAACCGCTTTGAAGCTCAAAGCTCAGGTTCGAGGCCAAACTGCAAATGTATCGCCTCACTGCATTGGCGACCCATGTGCCAGCGTTTCCGCGTGAAGGGACTTGTCAGCTTCCATGCCTTTCGGGGAGTCAACCATAGGAGCCTTGACCCTGTCACACATGCATAATGGACACTTGACGCTTAGGAGTGGTGTTGTGTGGCCGTGTGTGTTGGGATATTGCTTTCTTTCAACGGGGTGCAAAGCGGTTCTGTCTTCAAGCTGCGAAATACCCAAAAAGCGCCTTGAGACCCGCTGTCGGGGTGCCGGTTCCGCCCAAAAAAAAGGTCACCCTCTTGTCAACCCCCGCTGTATCTCCGATGGGATGGTTATCAACCCATCAAGAGGTTTTGGACCATCGACGTAAAAAAATCCTGTACGACCACCATTCCCGGGCGTCATCCTCTGATCAGCCCTCAATGGTCGGCTTCCTCCAATGGTCGGCTTGTTGCCATTAAACTGAAAGATCCTGCTTGACATGTCCTGACCTGTCATGATGCACCAAAGCTGGGGGTTCCTTTTCCTTTTCCAATTCGAGTCAACGCCACCTGGACCCATGTTGTCTACCTTTTGGGGTTTGGCAAAAAAGAAAAGAAGAAGGAGCCCGAAGACGGGTCGGCTCCCTGTCTCACTCCCTGAGTTCCTGGACTTTATACTTGTAAGATCAAACTAGGGGCGAACATAAAGTTTGGGCTGGCAAATCCACTGAAGTGAGCATTGGAGACGGCTTCCCCCCTCCCACTTGACGACTTGACCAGCTCCTAGGTGGCCATGGTGGTCTTGCTGGACCCCCGCTCTCTGCTGCCGCTGCAAGTGGATGTGCAGAAGGCCTTCGAGAACTCAGGCGAGCCAAGGGTGGCAGTTCCAGAAAATGATCAATTGCCATGTCCCATCAAATTGTCAAGGGGAAATCTTTGTGAGGATTTCTATATTCAAAGATTGGAGGTTGCCAAACACTGGGCCGCTTTTGGAGCCCACAGCCGGACCTTGCGCCTGGCCCACTCTCTGTGGCATTTGTGTGCCACCCAGCCCGGCCAGCGCCCAAACTGGCCTAAGGTCTGGAACGTCTTCAAAGGCGGATTCCACCTTTCGGGGGCCCTGGGGCACCACCGCACCGGCGAGTAATTGGAGTTCTTTGCTGGATGGTTTCCTCATGTTCGGTTTGGGAATAGGTCTTTTCGCCAGCATGGCCGTTCAGCCAAGCACTCCAGGCCTCGCGGAGAGTCTCGCACTTCTTTGCCAGACCTTGCCGCAGAATGAGGCCACCAAGTACGAGGAGTGCCCCGCTGTGTGCTTTCGACCCTAAAAAGGGGAAGGCTTCCAAGAATGAAAGGCCCTCCGGATACCGACTGACAATTCGGTGAATTCTTTAAGAAATGCTCACCTGATCAACCAGGCGCGTTCCACTTTAAATTGGGCGGATATCTCACGATCGTGCTTTGAGGGTAGCCTTTTTGGGGTGGTTGAAGGGCGTTCAAAGCGAAGCTACTCATTTTGGGCCGTTCCATTTACAGACGCTCAAGCAGCTGCATCTTGTTCACTCAAATTGCAGGAGGGCCATGTTCCACACCCTGACATCCCCTCAAAGCCTGCACACCCTGTCAAGCAATCGAAGTGTCCAGGCATGTGCCCGCATGTGCATGTGCTAATAGGACCTGTTGCATCCTTTCTACGCTGCTGTGCGGTGTTTTTATTTGGAAATAGTCGACGCCAAATCTTGCCTGTTGAGCTGTTGCTTTGCAACACTGAGCCCAGTCTGTGTTGTGGGAGGCATATGCTGATTGCCACGACGATGGCACCGGCTTCCGCCTTCAGCATCAGCATCATCAACATCATCATCACCATCATCATCATGATCAACATCATAACCACCACCACCACCACCACCACCGCCATCATCATCAGCATCATCATCATCATCAGCATCATCATCATCATCATCATCATCATCATCATCATCATCATCATCATCATCATCATCATCATCATCATCGACATCGACATCGACATCGACATCGACATCGACATCATCGACATTGTTGCATGATAGTCATGGCCATGGTCATCACGATGACCGTTCGACGGTTGCGTTGGATCATGTATTGCCGAGGGCCTAGAATCCAAGGCACAGCGAAGTCATGTTGAGTGCGGACCGCAAGGAGCTGCTTTCGACCCTCCGTGACACCGACCCGCAGAATCGGGATGAGGCAAAGTGTCCCGAGCATGTTCTGTGCCAGATGGGAGTGTTTGCTTGGTGTAATGATGAGATTTATGTAAATAGCATCAGGAACTCATATACCTGGGAAGGCACGCGCAGACTTAGAAGTATTCTGTGTGTTCTGCTTGCTTTGTTCAATATCCTCAATCCCTTATGGAGGATGCCAACTGCAACGTCCGATTCGCCAGGCCATCAAAAAGGCGTTGAACCCAAGCGCATTGGCCTCCTTGGAGCACCTGCATGCCACTTGGCTGATGGTGTTCTTTCGCAGTGGTGTGCCTGTGTTGAGGACACAACCCCTTTCACACACACACACACACACGTGAAAGCGAGAGTTGTGCTTCCGACAACCACTTTTGTTGTTCTCCTTTTGAGAGTTTCTTGGCAAAATGAGTCAACACAGGGAGCACAAAGAGTTTGTTCAGCTCCTTTGGGCATGTCTTACAAGCCACAAAGGCACAAGAGCAACCAGGCGTTTTTGAGCCACAAACCCGCCTAAGTGAGGGGCTTGCTGCAAGAAGCCCTCAAGAAGATTTGTGGATGCCATCCCCTTTTTTCCATGGGATTTGGGAAGACACCCTCCACTGCCGGGCTTGATTTAGGACTCACATATACCAAGCTCAAAATCTCTATACCCTATGGGCCTTGAGAAGTTAGAATTAGAGAGTCCCCGGTCCCCCCTCTCACTGGAAATTTGGAAGGGACCTCAAATGCAGGCGGTACGTGTATTTTCCACTCAGGAAACGACGCAGTGGTACAGCAGCCTGCTGCAGACGGGCTCGGCTCCAGAAGTGCCACAGCAGACCCGCGTGGCGGTGCTGCGCGCGCCAATGGCCGCGGCCTGAAGGGACGCATGCGCTTGTCAGACACGTGCTCAGTCCCTGAGTGGTTGGAGGTACTTTGTGGGGTAAAAAGTTTGAACTGTTTTGTCCACTCAGGAGGTGAGAAAAGGACAATAGTACAGGTTTGGGGGTGGTCCCGACCCGGCCCATGCATTGCATTTGCTCGTGAAAGTTCCAAAATGGGACAACCCCCTGCTAGTCGCCTACGGGCTGCTTAATCCTGGTCAACAGTACAGGTTTTTGGGTGATGGCCCCAATCAAAACCTTCGGCTTAAGCTCGAAGGTTCTGGGAAAGGTATGCTTGGGATGGCCTTTGGAATTCAGATCAGGAAAGCCAGACAGCCAAAAGAGGCAGTCCTTTGGAGACGTTGGAGAATATTCCTGGATTGCCGGGCTTTCTCTGACGAAAAAGGCCACAGGGCCAGTGGGCAAGGTTCGTGTCTCGCCCGCTTAAAGCCATAAGTCTGCCGTGCTTTTCCGGGCAAGCACTCCAGGGGGTGAGGGCACAAGGCGAAGCATGGCTCATCTTCACTCCCAAAGTCTTGGCTGCCCCCACCAAATCCAAGCCCACCAAGTTGCGATCCAAATGGTGCGCCTGTGTCGCCCGGTTGAATCGGCTGGTCGGAAACTGGACAAAATGGAAGCCGGCTCGCGGACCTAGCGCTTCAGGGCTAGAGTCAAGCTCTTGTGCGTTGCTTTTATTGGTTTTGGGTATGTTTTGTTTTGGGTGTTGTTCCAAACCCAGCCTTCCTGACAATTGACACCCCAATGTGAGCATGATATTCTAGTTCTGCCGCAGGAGGCAAGCAATTGGCTGGGCACAGAGTAGTGGGGCAATCTTGGGCATTTGGCACCCCAATTTGGGGTATCTCATCATGCTGGAGTTGAGTTCCATCTCGGAAAATTGGACTGGGGGACCCCCACTTCTCCTTCGGGTAGGGAGAACGCGGCCGGACTCGCATATCGAGGCTTGGAAGTTCGAGCCAAAGGCCGACGAGAAGCTGGGAGAGAAGATTGTGCGCCACTGGACAAGAGGATGAGATGGGGAGTATGACCTGAAGAAATTCCAAAAACAGAGGTCTCGGTCGCTTGCACAGGAGAATCATGTGTTGTGTTCCAAATCTGAAAGGAACCTATTTGTTAGAACCCATTGAAGTCACCAAAGATCCCTGAACAGAGTACTCTCCTACCAAGAAACGTGGAAGTGCACTGGGCCCTTTGTAAGACTACGTTGCATCAAAGAAAAGGGTTGTCATAAACCGCGGCAATGATGTATATCGCTCGTCGGGTTGTGCAATCACACTAATGATGAAGAAGTTGATAAAGTATTTGGATTTGCGCCAAGCCAGAGGCGAGGGTCCCAATATAGTATAGCATGATCATCCCCGATGCAGCGGGCCGCCTGATATGAGGCTCGAGGTGTTTCTTTGTTTTTCTCGGGGATGAGTTGGTTTCTAGGTGACCCAACCTAGAACAAGGCAGCATGTGTCCCTGAAAAGTTGAGGTGCAAACCTTCATGGCGCCAGAGTTCGATGGTTCTTGGGGGAAGCTGACCGTAGCTGACCTCTTTCATTTCCGAATGACCCTGGAGCATTCTCCCAGAGCTGGAGAAGGTGGACTCGACGTGCAAGATTGGTCCAGTCAGGTTGCTCCAAGGGGGACGCTTTCGGATCCAAACCTGGTGCTGTTCTGTGGGATCCGATGTTTTGAACATGTCGTGGAGATTTTGCCCTCAAACCCTGACAATGACGGACCTTGGAAAGCAAGGTCGAAATATGTTTGTCAGCAGAATAGAGCTCGACTCACGGGGGTTGCGATTTCAATGATGATTGTCCTTTTCTCAGTCTCAGGTTGGGAAGTTGAAATCGTCAAGCAGATGTTCGATCAGAACCCTTCCTAAGAACCTCTTCCATCAGAAGTTTTATTCAGCTTGGGGGTGGCTTTGGGGCCGATTCAGCCAGAGCATTTGAGGTGACTTCCAAAGCGAGACCTTCCAAGAGGATGAGGACGCGGCGAAGAGATACGAAGCCAGCATCGTGGCCAAGGCGCGGGACCTTTGCTGAGTACCCAGACGTGCGGTTTTTTCTTGCTCCCGGTGAGTTGCCTCTACAAGCCGGTTCTTCCCAGTTTCCTGATAAAGGTGCTGTTTCCGGGGGGTGCTGCAAATGTTCTTAAGAAAGCTGAAAATAGATTCATGCCCCTTGCACGAGGTTTGGGCTGCAGGGGTTGCTTTTCGGTGCAGGCTCAAAGTTAGTCTTGGATGATCGCCCTGATCGCCCTGCAAGGTACCCGGAACGCACTTCAGTGACTTGGCCGTACATGGCAGCAAGGCCACTGCTCATCAAACCACCGCTTGCTTGAAAAGCACTGCGGGGGTGGGGTTGGAAAAAGCACATGTACCTCTGCAACATGCATTTGTGTTTGTACGCAAGACGGACGGAACCAGGTCCAACGTTTGCCAAGTGGCTGGTGACTCAGGTATGATGCAGGAGCCACATGCCAGGATCTCAGCGCCAGAAAACATGTGCGTGTGTGTGTGTGTGCGTGTGTGTGCAGGTTCATAGTGTTTGTGTGTGATACATCTTTGTGGCCATCTGGTGGGATCTTTGGACTTCAACTTCTTGTGAAACACTGGATTGTCCATTGGACCCTTTGCAGAGGGGTCAACAGCAACCAAGACATGATACACTCCTGATTGGCGTGGAACCCCCGCAAACAGTGACAGGGCTCCTGCTTTGGGGGAACCTTGTTGGCGCCAAGTGGAGAACATGGTGGTTACAGCATTACGCCACGTTCGACTGCACAGTGGCTGAACCTCACAGGCAAAAATCAGCACCTGGAGACTTGCTCAATGGAGGGCATGCGCGAAGCTGCTTGCTTGCTTGCTCTTCGGTTTGGCATTGAACCGTTTTGTCGTTTGGAAATGACTGTTCCCCACTAGCCAGCAAACAGACCGGTGTCTCTGCCATAGCGATGCGTGACCAAACAACCCGTTTCTGTTTCAGGGGTCAAGTCGACCACCCACTTGTCTCTCGTGCTCAGGTTGTGAAGGTAGCACTGCGGATTTGTTCTGCCATCAGCACACTGGACGAGGACTAGGCAGCACGGGCTTGACCATATGGGATTGTCTCCAAATAGGATATGGAATGATGGCAAGCGGCCTTCCTGTCGACTTGTCAGTCGTAGACTTTGGGCCATGCAGTGAGCTGGATGCTCATAGGTTTACTCTGACCATAGTCATAGCGTGGATAGAGCAAAGAAATGCGTGCCGTGGACAAAAAGACAGGCCCACGCTGCCATTCGAATCTCAAAGGCAAATTTGGACCCCGAAAGCCTACCCGAAAGATCTCAGAATGCTTCTGATTTGATCGAAGGTTCCGTCCAAACCTTTGCGTCGGGTACTCCCGATGCGAAACCTTGCCGCTTTCAGAGGGGTTGTCTCTAGGGCATTGACTCCCTGAAACGGGCCCGGTGTCCCGTGAAAGCTTTGTTTAGCCAACCCCTGGCCTTCAAAGGGAAAGCAAAAGAGGTTGACTTGGGATTACTCCAGAGGACCGTACTAACCATATGGGGGTTCCTTTGATTGCTAGGGTCCTCCGATTAATCCGAAGTGGACATTAGTGGTTCTTGATTAAAGAAAGGGTTGGCCTTGGTAGCCTCAAAGCATGACACTGCATTTGCGGCTTTGATTTGGGTGTTGCACAGGCGAGACGTCAGCTGACGCCTGGTGGAATGCATCCGCTGACAGCCCTAAGTCAAAATGATGTCAAGCATGTTTGTTGTGGAGTCATGACGCAGTTTAGTTTAATAGTAATTACCCCATAACCGAACGCAGCAACTGTAGCCATGCAACGACGTAGGGACTGGACATGTTCTGGGCCTTAGGACTGTCAGCAGCCTCAAGTGTTCACTTGGGCTTGGATTTAAAAAGTTGCGGTGTGACTAGCATACCATGGCGATTGCCAGTTTGCATCTGGAGTGAATCAATGACGCATCGGACATTTGCAGAGCCACAGCCTCAAAATTATATATTTGTTGGCATCCTTGTCCTTGTTGTTTCATCTTGAGCTTCTGGATGCACAAGATCTTAATATGTCAAATCACGCACGCCGGGTGCGGGCCTGTTGAAACATTGGCTTTTGGCACTTGTTTCAAGCAGCCTATCACCAAGCAGGATGAGGCATGTATTCTGCAGTTTTGACCCCACCCCAGGCGTCGGCATCGGCCAAAGTTCAGCGATGCGATTGGAGTGGCCTTGCAAACATGGCACCTCTAGACGGAAAGAGCCTGAGGAGCACTGGCCAGAGAAGCATCGGGGATGATTGCCACTTTTCTCGGATGTCAAAAGATTGGGTCCAGGGAGATTGATAAAGAACCGTGGGTGATCTTCTAAGGCTTGTGCTTCGCAGTGCCGTTGCAGAGGCAGAGCAAGGATAGCGCCCAGAGTGTGCCAGACATTATGAGTTAAGAGACACTGGGGACAATCCCTGACTCTCCCTTTTGCTTGGGCAAAGGCAGTCGCCGATTTTACCCTGCCCTCAGTTAAGCCAAGCACCACGCGCTCTGCGAACATGTGGCACTTGCAAAAGAGCTGCCCTCGACACGCGCTGACATTGACTAGGGGCTTGTTTGATACGGGCTTGCTCCATGCTGAGAAGATCAACCAAATCCCATGTGGTCGATCAACGAGCCGCTAGTTCATCGTTGTTTCGTGCGTTCTCCATTTCAGGGACATATGAGTGAAGTTTCACATGTATGCATGGGTCAACTGTAGCCTGGGCTTGAGACATAGCAAAAGGCGCTCTGTTTGAGTTTGGTAGCGCAGCCATAGTCGCTCCAGCGGACACGTGGCTACTATAGCGCTTCAGTGCGCTGCGGGCAACTCACTGCCCAGCGAGGTCACTGCTGTGACCAGAGGACACCATCACCGAGACAGAGGTCAACGGTGAACCACGCGCCCGTGCTGACTGTTTGGGTCACTGGATAAGAGACGACATCCAGCC